CATTCTCTGCACAAATGCAACGCGAGATCTGATGGTTGATTAAGCGTAACGTTCGCACACAACAAATCGATCATTGGCCTGGTTAATGCCAGAGTTAACAATTGTGATGATCTTATTAATTAACAGTGACGCTCCATGATTGCGAGTTTAACGCTACGTCAAATCAAACAGCATCCATTATTATTAACACGTTAAATCGTAAATCTAACAAGCGATTCCGCATGCTACTCGTGCATACTGCTGTGATTCTTTGTTAAGCTATCCAACGTCAAAAATAAAATGATGATTTTTCTCTCGACATCCTAACATAGGGCTTTTTGTCCAAACGAGGGATCTGTCTGTGACATTTCATAGAGTGAAAATTATTCTGTAGAGGTAGAAGAGCTCTTATTACATTCTTTCACTATTTTATGCGTTATATATTCCGCGCACGAAGATTTATCGTCATCTATATTTCGCGTATTTTTATTCCGTTCGCATAAAGACACTTATTTCGATCCCGCATTCAAATATTAAAATCTTGGCGTTGCAAATAAATGATTAGCTTGCTCGAGCGGCGAAAGTTAAATAATAAATCGGTAAAGGCGTGAGACGATCCTCATGCATTATGTATCTGATGCTGTATAATATGGCGATTGGTTGCGAGTTGGTCGAATTGGAGTACGCCGCCCAGGAGATCCGCTATTATCGGGGAAAAGACGTGTGTTACAATATTCCATTATTCAGTTTGTCGTCATTTTGAATTATTAAAACGTACCGTGAGATATATAATAAAATCGTGCACGGTTGCGAGCAATTGACACGGTAGAAAGATTTTTGGCATCAAGCAGGTACGCTCGGCGGCGTTCCGGTATCATCGTATATTTAATTAAACGCGATCGATCGGCTTATTTCCAGCGATTCGAATCCGAAAGACATCATCCGAACGGTTTCTCCACGGTGTCTCATTTCCGTCGCGGTAATTAATTTATATTAATCAAGCCGTATAAAATTCTGTCCGCTCCCCATCTCGCGCGTTCCACTCAGCGCGATCCACAGCTTTTCAAACTTTTTAATCGGTTTCCACAAAGTTTTCTCTTCCCGATAACGCCGTTCTTTCCCGCTGGACCGCCACCGCAATAATATAACTTTATCCACGCATCCGCGCGGGAAACGGCACTTGATTGTGAAACCGCCGCGCATCGTAGCGGCGATGAGATATCATTTTTCTTTATTTTTTTATTACGTTTTCTCTCCTACGCTTTATTCTCCTTATACTCGAAAACGTGGAAATGTGAAGATTCGAACTATAAGTCATATTGGACGTTTAATATTCTTTTTTATATTCTCCTTTGTATATATATATATATATGAAACATTTGATTTCTCTCGCTTCTTTTTATTCTTGTGAAACATGTGTCTCATTTTTTATTTGTTTTCTTCCAAAGTTTCAAATTTACCAGAAATTTCTGTATTTGTCAAATTGTCAGCAAAAAGTTAAGAAGTTTTAAAAAGTTTAAAGAAAAAATATTGCTTTAGAAATTGTCAGAGTATCCCAATAGTGAGTTCCCTAATGTGAAATTTCTTTGATTATTATATCAAATTATTTTTAAAAAGTTGCACATGCCTTTAATTGCATAATAGCATCGTTATTAAAGTTTTCAAAAGTCAGACCTACAATGCGAAAGTCATATTTTTCAATTTGCTGGAAACGATAATCTCAATATTGTAAAGTGCACTTTCTAGATTATTATTATAATTAAATGTTAACTCTGGGATTATGGAACTGCGGCTTGACTTCTGACGAAATTTCTACTTTGCGATGGAGAATAATGAGAGAATAATAAGAGCGAAGCAACTAGACCAAAAGTTCTGCGGGAATCTTATTATTGGGGACGAACCCGCAGTAAACACGAAGTACTTTAAGTACTCCATGCCACTAACACGGTACGCGTATTGCATGCTGAAAAACGAGACAATACGGATCACCACGGTAACCTGGTAAGGGTAATTAGGATCAGTACACTCGGGGGTTTTTACTTGTTAAGAAAAACCGAAAGTTCTTCATTGAAATAAAACGACAAAGCGGCGTAAAAACACTTTACGTCATTGGCAAGCAACGGGAAGCGCAAAATCGAGGCTTGATGAGAAAGTTAAGAGCAGGAAGACGAAGTAAAAAGTCAGTGATAAATCAACAATTTCCCGAGCTCGTTTATCGTTCGTCATCCTCCGACGGATTTCGGATATGCAGATTAAAGGCTGATAATTTATGCGATAAATCAATATTTAATAATAAATAATAACGAAATGCATAAATGCTCAAAACCGCGTTGCGCCAGGATTTTATTGCTCAAGAAATAAATGTAAACAACTACCGCCGCAATCTCATAAAGTCTCAGCTCGAGGATGTAACATGTAGGTCGGATGCACTCTGGAGAAAATCTCACTGCGTCACGACGGTAAAAAAGAAGATTTAGGGAGTGCAGGACTGGCGACAGAACTCGCCACGGGCGGCGAGCTTAAATGCAGAAGGTCCAGAAAAACTTAGGGAGTCGGCAAACGGATTCATGATGAATATGAAACCGGAATGCGTTAAAAACTCCGTCGCCGCGACTTCATCCGTTGTGACTTTATTCCTTTTGATGAACGCGAATTTTTAACTTCACGTATCAGCACGCTCCTAACTCACATCAGCTTTATTCCATTAGAACGCTGTCGTCCGCTCCGCTGTCCGATTTGCAAACTACAAGAAATTTCGCTTACTTCGCAGATGTCTCTAAAAAGTAATATTTTTTCCCTTAATTTTCTAAAGTCTTAACTTTTCACAGAGATATTAAAAGAAAAGAAATATATATGTATATAATAATGCTATTTTTCATAAAATGATTTACTAAAATCTATATATCTAATATAATAGCGGTTTTATTTAATGATAGCGTGAAAGCAAAACCTAGTTTTGCATAGAAACGCTGAATACACAGCCGCATCTGTTAGTATTCCGAAAGTTGTGCCAAGAAGTCGAGATATCTATCAGAAAATCTATTTTCCGCAGGATGCGGGCAAGGCAGAACGATGTGAGGGATGCTTTTAGGATGAACATAAGGCGCAAATGCATCGCGGGGGAAGAATACGGCGCGGGCGGTAAACGTCTCACGTAGGGAGTGGCACCTTCTGGCGCACAAAATTGTAGTTATCGTTAAATTTTCGCGGAAACGAGCTTACGGGCGAGCTTATAAACCGGCCGGATAATTCCGGCTGTAGAAAACTGTCTTGCCAGCGTGAGAAAAGCTCTGGTCGATAAACCGCTCCCGCCGCGCGCCGTGCCGCTATTCTAAGATCGCGTTGAAAATAAGCGGTGCTGGATAACGCACGAGGGCTAAATATAGCCGAGTATCGTGGTGGTCGACCGCTATTTCGTGCACGAACGTGGGGATTTTAGATCAACGATCCGCCTTCTTCCTTTTGCAATTAAAGAGTTCAACGCGACAGCAGTTTAGCTCGTTTTTTCAAATCTGCTTAAACGTTTAACGCAATATGTCTTAATCTGAATTTAATATTGTCAACTTTAAAATTGATTTTTTCTTCGTGCTTGAAAAAATGCGAGCTGAGTTATGCGCTGAAATTTCGATTGTACATTCCGCGTTCGTCTCTTCTAGATTTGTATTGCAGATACGGGATTTACGCGAATATAAAATTTTACGTCAACTTTTTCGGTATTTAGGGAAAGCTTATTTGGAAATGAAAGGACGGATACGATGCCCGATGTTACCGAATGTTTTCTGTCAATGGAGTTTTCTGTGTGCACGATTCGATAATTCCATCCAATCCGCAGTGCGTACAAATGGGAGCCGATCCCGCTGAAAGTCCGATTTCCTATCGATGTTTCTCTTTCCACGAGGTCACCATCCGATTATTTGGATTAGACGTCGATATGCAGCCCGAAATCGAAAGAGGAAACCGATGAGTAATATGACAATTGCCTAGGGAAAATATATTTACGGTCAACGGGCAATGATTGACGATATTTTCGTCACGCGGTTTGACCGGTTATATATTTATATCAATTGATATAAGAAAATAGTATCGCAACGTGTTTGCACCATTTGGCGCAATATTATTCGCAGCAGAGCTATTGCAGCTCGCCGCCGCGCTGGCAGATTGAATAGGAATTTCTGTTGATCCGCCCCGATGGAATGCATATTAATGTTGACATTAAGCAGGAACGATTATTAAACGGTTCTCGTTACGCATATCATGTCATTCTGTTTCTATAAAATGGATAATTGGAAATCGGCTATCGAATTCATTATTTCACGCTTGGGGGAGAACATTGCAATATCGCTAAAATTATAGCATCAGCACCAGTACTCTCTATATACTCTATACTACTCTATATACTCTGTACTACTATAATTACGAAAAATTTTCATATTTGTTTAAGTATTGATACATTATACACGAGAGAAAGTTATCAAACGTCGAATTTCAATGTTTCACTATGCAACTGTGATTCGACATAATCTATTGAAACTTTATTCGAAATTAATTTTTAATTTTTAACTTGTGATATTAGATATTACAAGTTTTTCATATTTTTCCGATTTATTATTTAATAGGTGATCGATAAAATAATATCTCTATCTATTAATATTAATGGGATTTATATAATATATACATGGTAACAAAATAAAACTAATGATACAATAATATAATAGACAATAGAGCATTTTGTAATGTGTATATTATTTTACGAACGCGAAATATTATTTTACGTCCGCGAAACAATTTCAATTATTTTACGGGAAATGTAAATTGTGGAGAAGGGACACGACACGTTCGAAATTTTCCGATCGCAAATCCGCATGCTCGGCTCTGTGTATTTTGTGTGCTTTCCACCGAAGATCGTTCGCCGAAAACGAGCCGCCGGAAATCGAAGGTCCTTTCGGCTAAGTATAGCCCGCGCCGCGCGAGCATAAGTCTGGCCGGTGACGTCGAGAAGTGTCAGTATACTGGATCTCGTGTGGACCGACCGATTCCAGAGACGCGACGATTCAAAACGCTCTAAATAGCGACTCGCGATTGCTATCGCCGGAATTAATCTTTTGTTCGTGACAAATGCCAAGTATTTCAGGTCTTGTCATTGTCGTTGGCGCCAGTCGTGACACGTGGCTGGATGATCGATAACGCCTCGTGCGAGCCGCGAGTGAAACGAGACCGAAGATCGAAGATCGAACTTGTGATCAGTCCGCGATACATCGGCGAATCGTCAACAAGGGTATAAGTGTTTTAATCCCGAAAGTGCGCTACGTTTGGATAACGTTTGTTCTTTGACTGACGAATACGAATGGGTATTTACATCTTGATTTAATCTTTAATTAATTTTATATAACGAAAGACCGTCCATCGTCGAAAATGGAAAACAGCTTTCACCTTAACCGAGTAACGAGCTTTGTTCTGTTTTTAAATTCAAATCGACAATTTCCTTTGTCGCAAGACAACGCTGAAAATCGCTCACGTGAAATAAAGATACGATGGAGATATATTGATTTAGGGAAAATAAATACGGCAATTCTTTAATCTAAAACAGGTCGTCTTATTGTAAAGATTTAATTAAGAGATTTTTTGAGTCTGGAAGCGAAGTGCTTCAGTGTTGAAAGTGCGTCTAACTTGAATAACATGGGGAACAAATTTTAAAGGATACGTGCGCATCTACTCTATTTTGGTTGCAAAACGGGGAGATATGTCCAGTATTCTTAATGTCACTGTCCGCTCGAACGAAATTAGGGAGATTTATCCTCTTCGTTTGCGTTTCGGAGCGAGCGCGCCTGGGATTACGAGACATTAGTCGCTACACAAATTACGTGCTGTGCACCGCGGCGGGAGAAATTATTCGACATACCCGTCGCTCTATGAGCAATTTAGGATTCGTTGATTAGACGCAGGTGCATAGCAGATCCTCGTGATCATTCAGGATTTAGAGGGGTCGTTAGATTCACTGAATTTAGGAGCGTAATGGTTCGATCATGATAACTCAAAATTGTAAACTTATATACAAGCACTAATCTGTCGCGTTTATATGCGCAGAAAAGCTGTCATTAGTCCAGAGATTCTTAATCTATAATTCAACCTTATTTTTTTAACAAAATCTGTATGTCACCTTAAACTACGAAAACATTTTTCAAACTAATTTAAAGATAATATTACCTAATAGTAGAAAAATAATTCTAAAAAATAAATATTTAATATATATCGTATATATGTATATCGTTGTGTACATTAAAATTCAGTTATTGCTATTAATATCTCTAAATTTTAATGTGCAACGATATACACAAGTAAAATACGCAAATGATTAAAAACATATTACAAAGGCAGATCAAAATTGAATGAATAAAATGTAAAATACCAACGCACTGCGCTATTTTGGAACATTTCATGGTAACAAATGATAAATTTAGATTTCTGCGAAATGTGTCTCTTTCTCTCCCTCTCTCTCTCTCTCTCTCTATCTCGTAGTATTCAATTACGCCGCGTATCTTTCACGGATGTATTAGACAAGAAAAGACGACTTGAAATACACTCCTTTTGAAATGACGCCCGCAAATTCTGCTGATGTGCGCGGACAAAGGAAAAAGCTGAATCATTCGCGACGCTGTTTATTTTGCTACACGAGAATAATGATGCGCCACGTGTGCAGCCTCATTTCGTGAAAGTACGACACTCAGAATTTTCGAATCTGCATTATGCGTTTATTGTGTTTTAGCGGGTCATCTATAAACCTGATATCTGCGGAATATTACAAATAACTAAAAATATTACTAATATCGCGTTATACTATATATAGTCAGTGTTTTATTTTGTTAAATTAATTTCTTTGTATAGTCTTTGCTATTACAAATTATACAAATAATGATACACAAATGCCTTGTTTCATTACTTTTTAACTCAATATTAATATTAAAAAGAGTTAAGAATCAATTTTGGCCGATATTCATATCATATAACTTAGCTTATAAGCAATAGGATTCTTTTAATTTTAAAGTAATAATAATAATACATATAATAATATAGAAAATCTTTTTGACAGAGTCGCTGTCACAAACAATTTCATAAAAGAGATTCTTGGAGATACACGGAGTACAATTATTAACATTATTCACTGGGTATTTCCCAATCTCGAAATTATTAGACCATGCTGGGGGCTCTCTCGAAAGGCCGGAAAGTCCCCGTGATCCACCACGAAATATGATCATACAATTAAAGCGTGATGAAACGAGGACTTTAATAATGTAGGCGGATATCTCCCAAGGGAAAGAGGATAGGTTGCTCGGTGAAGTTTCGAGGTTCACAGTCAAAGTGTCAGAATTAGCATCCCGTTTCATCCTCATGGCAACGCCCATGAAAGTTGCTAATACAATCGTTGCTCGCCGCCTGTTGCACCCCCAACGTGCACGCGGAGAGAAAGAGTGAGAAGGGCGAGGGGGAGAGTTCGCTTTAAGATCCAACAAGTGGTTCGTCTGAGAGTAACAATGCTTCCTAATGTACTAGCTTTTGCCATTGTGTCGGCTCGGAAGTGCGATCGGTCCTCGACGTGACGACCTTCGACGCCGGCGACGTCAGCACGGAGAGACTTGCGAAAGCCAAAACGAATTTGGCTCGACATCTAGCTACGTATTCGTTAACGTTTCAAACAATCTCTTTGAACGCTCCCCCCCCCCGTGTGATGTTGACGCACGCGTGTGCGTCCTCTGAATGTAGTCGGTGTTATTTAAATTTATCTGCCGTCGAGACTTAAGTGTTCGCTAGGAAGAGCCGCATGTCTTTACGTTATGATCGTTTAATTAGTCGTATTTGAAAATACCATTAAGATTTGTAGGATAAACTCGGATAAGATGGCCATAGAGGAAAACTGGTCAACCCCATGTTTCATGGTGAGCTAGCATTGAAAGAACATAGGTTGGCCACCTTCCCTCTGTGGCCATCTTACCCGAGTTTACATTTTTAATTCATTATTAAATTAAGTTAATTGCGAAATATATGATTAAAGTGCTGCGTACATGCAAATATAACATACGTGAGCAAATTTAATTTACAAAATACTGAATCTACACAAAAAAGTTGCTTAAAAATATGCGTCTAAGTTAAATATTTAACTTTAATATAATTTAAATTTTTTTAGTATGCCATTTTTGTTATAAATATAAAGATAAAAAATTTTTAATAAAATTATACAATCGTATATGTTGAAAAATAGCAGTGCTAAAAAAAAGTTGAGAATTTAGATGTTCTTTACTGCTAAAGATATCCGAAAATTTTAATAAAGTTGCAACATTTTTATTAGACCAACTTGATGACGAACAAACATTTGCGTTGGCATCGTCGGAGCGACAGAACGCCGGATGCTTTACGAGGAGGCCGGATCTGAAAGCTTGTGCCTCATGGAGTTATAATCGACATTGATTGAGTGCTTCCGTAACAGAGAAAGAAATGATATATACTTGACGAGTTTTTATAGAATTCTCAGATTTTCGATGTGCGTCACGCTCGTAAAGTCTTTAAAATTAAATCGCACGGATACAATTTTCTAAGTAAACAATTTTGATACAAATTAATAAAGCAACAATCAGTGATTAATTATGCAAATAAAAAATTTTATAATATAACTTATAACAATGTTTAATAATTCTGATACAAGAAATACATCAGATTTAATATTTTTGTTCTATTATAATATCTAGAAAAAAAGGAGAGAGAAGGGATTTAGTTAGAAAAATAGAAAAAGAAAGAGAAGAAAAATGTAAAGAGTAAAAAAAGAGAGCATTATTATTAATTTATTTAAATATGTGTTAAACGTTACGATTAAATCTATATCAGATCTAGAATAATATTACAAACAATATTTTTGCTGTAAATATGCATGGTGCTAAATAAAACATTCACTTCGCGTTAATCGAGATTATCTTGCCTACTATGCGACTCGTACAAGCGCGATTAATTAATTCGTGAATTGCATTGGTAATCGTTCACTCATTAGCGACGTTCAAATATTTATTACGGTTGCCGCGGTTTCCGATCTGCAATTCTACTCATTTCAATTTGAACATTGCAGCTGGTTGATAATATATCACAATCTGATATTATTAAGCGTGACGGTTACATTTTATCTAAATTTCTATATCTAAATTTCGACAATTGGGTAATGCATTTATCGTGTTATTGTTATTTTTAAAAAGATATTCACAGTTGAATTATATGATTTATAATTTTAAGTTGCTCAGATTACGATAACAAATTTTATATTGATAAATATTTAAAATTATAATTATTATTCTTACCGGAGCTTCTTTCACACATCGAAAGTTCTTGTGAGTTTTGCTCATAAAAAAATACTCAAATCATTGAACAAAAAATAAAATTCTTTAATGCACTCTGCGCTCTGCAACTACGATTTAATTACAAAAAAGTTTTAGCGTAATTTGCGTCGCGAGAAGTTTTCAGGGTTGCCTCTTGAGTTCACCCATCTCTTTACAAATTTACGCTGATGATGCATCGTGTCTTAAAATAGAAGTCCAATGACTCCACAAAGATCTTGACATTGTCTTGGCACTAGTGTACTATATTGAAAAAAGAATCACGAAATTGTTCTTACGCCGTAAAATTTGAACATTGATTTCGTCACGATTTAATTATTGAATGTAATTGCTAATTAGCGATACAATGAATTAATTATTTTGTAAGTAGGATGTATACAGATATATAAATGCATGGGTAAATGCAGATTGGCCAAATCCAGTCGTCAATAAAACAATGTAATCGATAATATTAAAAATGAATTTAAAATATTACATAAAGCAGTGTTATATATTTGTAATTCCGCTTATTTTTTAAGTTCTGTCACGAACTATATGGCTGAGAAGAATTTCTATTACTATGAATGTATAAATATCGATCCAGTCACATACTGATGCAAGAACACTATCAACTGCTGTTGCAAACTGCTGTTTCCGTGCAATCGTTTAACACGTGGCTGGATGAACAAGATTTTGGCAGCATTTGAATTTTGAAACACTGTCCGGTTACAGTCGATATACTCGTATAATCTATTTATTAACTATGACGATGTTGAGATAGAATGGCGCAAGATATTAAAACGCATTAAAACATCCTCGCATTCGCATTAAATTATTTCTTTTAATAAGCTTTATTAAAATATACTTTAATTTTAATAAGCTTATTAAAATATACTTTACGATAAAATACTATTACGGTAAAACAAATCACATCAACATTAACGTTGATAATCTACTTTTAGGGATGAAAGAGAAAGAGAAAATGAGGATTTTCGTAAAATATATATAATATATTAAAAAATACTTGTAAAACATTGAATATGAAACAAATGTTTATGACATTCACGTCATATTTTTTGTAGAAAAATATAATTTGTTAGATACATTTATATCGTTTTACATTTACAATATAAAACAAAAATGTATATTAGAATTCTGAATCAATTCGGTACTGTCAAAGAATTGAATGTTTGAACAACATCGTAACAGCATACACGTAACTTGTCCTGTTTTATAACACCAATTAATCCTATGTAAAACACAGGTAAGATTAAAAATAAATTTTCTTCTTTTTAGGCATGGAGCAGTTCGAGCAGCTGCTAACCTGCGCGATATGCCTGGATCGATACAGAAATCCAAAGCTCTTGCCATGTCAACACAGCTTTTGCATGGAACCGTGCATGGACGGCCTTGTCGACTATGTTCGTCGACAGGTCAAATGTCCGGAATGTCGTGCCGAACATCGTATACCATATCAGGTAAATTATATCTTAATCGTATTAAAATATATAATTGCTATATAAAGCTCAGAATTGTTAAAAATATTTTTTAAGATTAAAAGAAATTATTTACTTCGTGTCTCTCTGGCCTCGATTAATTACACGTCGAAATAAATTGTCTAAATCGAAATAAATCTGTCCGCGACTTGTTTTGTCGCAAAACGACGCAGTTCTCCAGCTATTACGTGTCGCTTTATCAGGTTTATGTCTTTAATTATGTTTGCTGTGCGATCGGACAATAATGCGAACAGGAGAAAAACCGATCTATGTTTTGTCGCACAAATTAAATGTTACTCTGTGCGTGTCAGAGTAACCCGATGCGGCGTTACGGGTAAGCTCATCTTTATTCAACGATGAATCCAAACGCGAGAGGATTCTCATTAAACCCAGTGTATATTCTCGCGTTTCGTGCTAATGTCGTCTTCGAACTGGTCTGTCTTTTTTTCCAGAATAATCAAACATAGTTACGTAAGCAGTAGCAGAATTCCAAAATGTTTTCGGTTGCGATTGCTGCATAATCATTTATACAATTGTATTTTGAGAAGAAATTGAATAGTCTTAGAAAAAAAATACGTTCGCATAGACAGTTTTTTCAGGACGATATTTAACAACCGCGTCTCATGATAGTAGTAATTCATCCACTTTGACACAGATTAGTAGACGAGCTTCACTCGTATAATATTAACGTTAAAGGAGCGTCAAGCGCGCGTTGTATAATTAATTCGCGGCATTATTCGTGCGGTGCACCGATTCTGGCCCATTAATAAGCGACATACTCGGTGCACATACGTGTATTACAGGCGTTAATCAAGCCGAATACACATTCTATTTGTAGGGCGTGCAAGCCTTTCCGACCAACGTGACACTGCAGCGATTCCTGGAATTGCATATCGAGATCACGGGGGAGCTGCCGGACCCGACTAGCGGTCAGACTATGGAACGCTGTGGCGTTTGCTCCGAGAAAAGTTACTGTCAGCTGTGCGTGCACTGCGAGAAGAAATGCTGCCCCGAGTGCAAGGACGCACACATGGATATCCTGAGACGCGAAATTGCGCGCATCAATTCTCAGGTACAGCAGTCATTTTCTTACGCGATTACCGCAAATTTGAAGAACTGGAGAAAGTTGAAAAAAAAGTTAGAGCAATTGAAAGTAATTAGAATCCTGGAAAAATATAATACAGATTATTAATTAATTATTCATTAATATGTCAGAGATATTTATCGATATCGCCGATACCGCGCAAATCAATTATTAATGCTGCGACCGTGAAGTAAAACGATAAATTCTAATATTCCTCTTTATTATTGCTGTTTATGCAACTACCGATGTCGATCAAGTTTTCCTAATCTTACTGTTTGAAAGGCAAGCCTGCACCATGAGAAATTTGGTTGTACCGATCGTAGAAACTAATTTAACCGGCTCCATAACTAATTTTCTCTTCGGCTCGACGGTTAGACGTTGTAACGCATTTAGGAAAGCGAGAACTGTTGTGTTACGGTATTCGGTATCGGGGTGTACTTTAAATTCGTTACGTTGTGCCCTTCGGCGTCCCAACGGAAAATTTATTGCCGCGCAACTTCGCGCATTGCAATTAACCGTGTACGATAGGGACGTACGTTGAAACAAGATTGCAACCTAGATTTTTCGCTCTACGCTGACGGCGTGTGATATGAAACCGTTAGTTGAATTCGATAACGCAACACAGACATCGACTAAATACGAAATAAGATTATTGATTGTTAATTAAATAAAAAGTTTGGAAGCGATTGCAACGACTACTCTTTATACCACTAAAATGCAGAGAATTTAAATTTCAATTTCAGTTATATCTCAAAATTTTAATCGTATAAGAATTATCACATATATTTAAAAAAATCAGGATATTATGGGTTTGAAAAATTAATTCACGCGTGCAATAATTCGGGAGTCTAAGACCATTTAAATGAAATAATAGGAGATATAAATTTTAAGATAACAATTTAATTAAGAAAAAGAAGCTGTAACTGTTACATGCTGAAATTTATTATTTGATAATTCTGCATCAAGAACATTACGAGACTAATTGTATGGGATAATGGGATAATGTCCGCGATCGTGCGAATTCGCCGTATGTCTCCAGGACCATCCCGGTGAATCACATCTATTCCGAGTGACGGAATAAACTTCGAGGCGCGATCGTCTTTGAGACAGTCCAGATACACCGAGATTGCACTTCGACAAGCGGGATATCGCACAAATAAGGCATACAGATTCGCGAACACAACAATTTCAACGATCAAAGTTGTTAACATGAGTCTGTCGAATCTGTCAGATCTTCCTCTACTCTATACTATCGAAATTGCGCGCGCGTGCCTGAAATATGTGTCTGTTCTCCCCGTTCAAATGTCCCGAGAATCGATGCTGATTGTCGTTTATATTTTATTATGTTTCACGGTTATATATGTATATTTAGAAGCCTGGGCGTGGATCGATCAGACGAGGCAGATAATAGGAAAACGCGTTATCTGTGTGTCATGAAATAATTCTGTGCACTTCTTTTAAATTGTTACGAATTAAAAAAATGCATGCATCTTTCTTTGTCAAAATTTTAATTGCAAAATTATGCTGCTTAAGTATTTGAACATTATAAATAATTACGTAAAGTCGTAAAATATCATAATTAAATTTTTCTTGAAGAAAGATAATTGGCTGTGATAATTGGCAATAGAAATGCGTAGATGAGAAGCAGCGCGAGGAATCTAGGACGCCTGGTATACATGAGCTTTCTGTTTTTTAATTACGTTAATTTATTTACTGCACGGAATAAATACAAGGTTTATACTCTTTGTGTATACAGCCGTTCATATTTCATTTCTACGCCTTGTTTACATTTTCCAGATTTAATTAGTTAATGAACAAATTCCAACGCCGTGAATCTTTTTGAAGGCGATTAATAAATCAGTGGGAGCTTCGAACGGCATAGGATGAATGTTGCCGGTTTTAATTAGTTAACAACCGGACTTCCGTGTCGCGAGGCTTTCAACCACACAGTTGATTCTCTAATGCGCCGAATCTCATTATTGTATGGACATGCGATTGTACTTGGAAATCTGCGCGGCAAAATATGCACTGTTTGAGCCGCACGAAATGGCTATATAGGCTTAATTAATTTTTATTACCTTCGATTTAACAGATGTCACGGAATATCGCGAAAATGTACGCGTCGTGCTTTGTGCACATAAAAAGCGACAAAGAATAATTATTTTTAAAGGCAACCAAGAGAGGAAAAAAAAGTTGAACCATTCGTTCCGTGAAACAGCGTGTAAAATAATCCCGCTTTAAAAAGCTCGTTTTATTTATTTTAATAGCACCCGATTTAATCAATTTGAAAAGAACTCGCGCAATGTTCCATTTACAGTATAACACTTCGTAAAATTGCGTTTACGCTCAACGCATCGAAAGAGAATGATATTTTTGGACATTTTTATTCTATATAAAACGCACGCGAAAGAGATATGTACCGTATCTATCGTTTATCGCGTGTAATTTAAGCCATTAATACAATTTCTATCCTGCATTCCGGAAAATTTCATTGATTATCGTATTGCGCGCAAATACTTTCCGTACACGCTTATTCGGCGCGTGCACAATATCCTGTTCAAAAAATTTGATTTATTTATCTTAATTGTTCGCGATTTGACCGATTTATACAGTTTCAAGCGCCACACGACAGGCCATAAAATCTCGTTCGAAAATAGCATCCCACGGCGTTTCGAGGAGCGCATAAAAGCCTCGGGTCTCGTCGAACGGTGAAATAAACGCGACGGAGCACGTATGATAAAATCACCGATGCAACTCGTTCTCGCCACGGCGTAAGAAATTATGATGCTAATGCACCGAAATACCCCCGCGAATGCATTCACGTCCCTTGCACTTTTCTCTAACTCCCGGCAGAATAATAGGACGGTTTTCCCGCGATTTTCCGGATTTATTCCGTAAACCGGGCACGATTCCGTTCCCGTCGTCGTACGGAAAAGAAATGTACCTAACGATATACAATTTATATACACGGTTCCTTCCTCATGAATGTACATTACAAAAATATTCAGATCACGGCAACTCTTGTAATATTTTGACTCACCTTCCCTTAATAGTTATCACGACAATTTTTTTTACGTTAGATTTGTCATTTACGCAATTTGCTGCAACATTTACGTTTTCCTGAAACACGCTGATGGTGAGAAGTATCCATTAATTGTTATCTCTTTTAACGATATCTAACGTATACGATCAATTCGCGTTATGTTACCAATTCGCCATAGATATTTGCGGTCGGATCGTAACTGCACACGAAACAAACCTTCCGATCTGAATCGATGACAATGCCAATACCCACGAATTTCGAGTCTTCCAAACCAATTGAGTGAAATTACGCACGTATTTCAAATTTCTTGGTCGCGGCGCGTCGTAATTGTAATACCTGTTCTCTTGATAATGCATTGCATACCGAAACATCTAATAAATCGATTATTGCGGAAAGGAAAAAAAACTCAATCTTTTCACGCGCAGTTGGAAGGTTAAATTATCTTTTCTTTCAGAGATTGTATTAATATTGAATACATATTGCGTAATCATTAATTTCTAAATAAAAATAGAAATTATAATTTTTGTGAAAGAAATAATTGTAAACATTTTCTTTTCGCTCTTATCATGCTTTTGCAGAAGTTATTTCTTCTTTTATATTTGAACATGTAATAATTGACTCTCAAAGTTTTTTCTACGCATTTATTAGAGTGCAACGGATTAATGTAGATATCGCGATCCATATTCAAGTCACGCAGTTTCTTTTATTTACGTTATTTTCCATCTATGTCAATATCTGTTGTGCAAAACTGTAACCAATATTCTATTGGTTTTTCGGGTTGCATTTTCCAATTCAGATCTCTGCTGAAACCACGCATATATTTTCGCAGTATTAAAGCTTCTTGTACAGAGCTCCGCTTCTTTTCTCCTCTTCAATAAACTCTTCACCAATCGCTAAGCATGCTCCCTCAATTTTAAACATAAGGTACATAAGATGTCTAGAATATAATAACTTTTTCATATTTTTCCAGCATTATTTATTGTTATATTATAAGGTTCGTACAATGAATTTTACGTGATACAGCTAGAACTATAAACCACAGATTCTGTAAAATTCCTGGACAAATAATTTGCACCGAATAAAAAGAGCTATATCTTGTTTTTTTTCTTGTTTGCAATAGCAATCGTGAATAATTCAATATTGATTGCATATCCTGAAAATATTTTTTAACGAATAATCTCCTTCTAGAATATAATATTAGGAAAAATTTCTCGATAGGGAGAAAAACTTTATTAATTTGGACCAGCGCTAACCCATGTCAATATATGGACAGCATAACATGAACAGCATAATTACATTTGGCTTATATACGGCTATGAAAATTTAGTGCTCTTTCATAGAGCATAAAACATATAACGTAAAACTGCGGATCTCTTTTAGAGCCTTACAGTAAAATATTTATGAGTCCAAACTGTTTATTATTTTAACTAAGTTCACTTCGCGTTCATTTAGGCCTTCACATACGTATCTAGGCCATGCAGTTATAGCATAACTATAATGAAGCCTAAATATAATCGTCGATACGTTTGTTTGCCCTAAAAGCATCATCTGAACCGAGAAATTTTAGTTTATGTGAAAGCAAGCGCTTTCATATATGATTTCAAAAATATCAGGAATAAAAATGGAACGTTTATCGAAAGCAAACTTCCATACCTATATGATTCCAAAAATATTAGGAGTAAAAATAAGAAAAATTCGGAACATGTAAATGATATCGTATAACTTAACGCTTTTATTTTTGCGCTATTATTCCCTTTAGTCACGTATTTCTTTTTTATGCGTTACCAATATTTCTAAGCGACTGAATTTGCGTAAACGATCCTTTAAATCTACATTAACGATAGCGACAATTAGACGCGCTTATTCACGCCCACTTTCCATTTGCATAATCGATATTGCAATTGCGATATCGCAGCGCGCTTAGGCTTAACGCGGAATTGCATTTCCGACTTGTCAAACCCGGGTGCACCGGTGGTGCGTTTACAGGTACGCAGGGGGCTGCACAGGCTGCAGGACGCGCTGGCTCTGGTGGAGAAAAACACGTTGGGCCTGCAGACAAACTGCGCCTCGGTCGCCGAAGAGGTGGACGAGATTTATCGGAGGCTGAGCAAGGCTTTGAAAGACCGTACGGAACATCTGCGTAACGAGGTCGATCGATACCTCGGCACCGAGCTCAGAGGCCTGATTCAGCTCAAAGAGAATCTCGAATTGGAAATCGCGAATATCCAGAGCAACTGCGATCTGGCGGAGGCGCATATAAACGAAAATGTGCAGTGGGACGACGCCGAGCTCCTGGACACAAAGGAGCTCTTCCTGCGTACGGTGGAATTTATCAGGTTTGTTGCCCTGTAATCTCCCTTTTTCCTTTCGACGCCCGCTCGTTAAACCCCGCCCGGTCGTAGCCTTGTACGATTTATTATCGGCTATCTATTTTGCGGTCTCCCCCGTTTTTTTTTTACGACGTAGGACTAAAAAGAAATCGTTAAATGAACGGTTTCGTCTCCCCCACGAGCTATTTTATTTCAATTATTTCGGATCTTGTAGTGATGCTTCACCACTTCGACTCTATCTATTTTAATTTAATAACTCCCACGTTATTTCGTAAAATTATCATTGTCACGTTGTTTTCTTTTTAACGGTTTGTTTGTCGCAATTACGTTTAACCGCGAAGGAGAAAAAATTACATTTACCGTGTTTACCATCGAGGAAAAAACATTTGTTTTTTATGATAAAATATTATTTCCTGTTTCTCTACAAAATACAGTTACAATCGTTAAAAAATTGATAACCTGCCTCTCAGGCACGCGACATAATAAATAAACATAAACCTCCAGAATAAAAAAACTCGATCGTAATTTGAACGCTGTCGAGATGAACACGTCGATATTGGCAGCAGCCATACGTATTCCAGTAGAGATTCGTGATAATAGCATTGCGAGTGTAGCGGAAATCCGGCGTTGGGTAATGTAATTAACGTTCAACATTACTACGCACACCATTATGAAATATGTAACGCGAGCAAAATCTGCCGTAAATCACAGACGCAAATCGTGCCGCATAACAAAATTATACGTTCATTAACTCAAGTACAATAATCATGTTACGCAAACGACAAAACATCGAAGGGCGTATATTTCAATTGCGAAAATGGCTGTACCTAAAATCGCACGAGCGCAATACCTCGATAAGATAATGCACTTCGTCAGTAATTAACATTGTCGAATTAACGCTGCAATGAATTTCAAAAGCACGCGTTACTGTATGCTCTCACGCGTATATGCTAAATCGAGATGTGAAGTTGTGCAATTTTTTCCAGTACGTGATTTAAATGGAATCACTGCGCCGTATCAAAATTCTAGTGCAATCAAGTAGATGCGCTCGGTATTGAGAACAATGCCGTTAGCGATACAATTTCAGAGTTTTTAAAATTATTTCTATTTATATCAAAGGATCCTACATGAAAATGAAAACATGCAAAATTGAAATTTATCGCGTCTTAATCACACTCGGTATAGAAATATTTTTATCGTAATATTACGTAATGATAAGAAGATTAGTATTTCTCTATTATAATTTCTTTCGACTTTACACAGTACAATCCGCGATATAATTATTATCGATTTTGCGAAACTTAATTCGCACAATTAAAGCGGTCTGTCATATCTCTCGGCGAATGAAGATGAACGATTGTTCTCCGCAGGAACTTCGAATACGAGGCGGGGGATTACAACCGACGAGTCCGCTTCGTGATGGCTCACGATCCGAATCAGCTTGTCCTTCACGTGGCGGGTTACGGCGAATTGAACATTAAACCGGAAAGCGGAAGCGGCGGATTGCTGGGGAGCTCGAGCAGTTTAGCCCCACCGGTGGGTTCGCCCGGTCTTATGAGGAGCAAGAGCGATCACCGTCTCGCCTCGCAGTACAGGCAGCAAGAGGAGGAACGGCTGGCCAGGAATCGATACGTTCCCGAATACGAGTAACTATCGCTACATCTTACGTCTTTCTTCTCGAGTGCTCTATTTAGTATATCCAAGTATTATTCTCCTGCAGTATCACGAACGGTTATCGTTCGGTATTACGAAAAATCAATTGCTTTTATCGCCATTTTAAACATCGTTTTGTTTGCGAATATGAGTTGAACCTTATCGTATCATTTTTATTTTGTAATATTGATTTACAGAAAAATATTGGGGCAATTAATTTATTTTTTTATTGTATTCTGTATATACTTGCCGTAAAACGCTACTACATTTCTTGATATTGCAGCAGTAATATGGTCTTATAAAAATGATGTAAATTTTTCCGAAAGTCAATATCATACATGTATGTACTTCGTAGAATTGGGGAATGCGGAATACCGGTTAGGGAGATAAAACCGTTCGGCGCGAAATAGAACTTTTTTCAGAAAAGCTACTTATGTAAGCTTTGATTTTTAGACCAGTACCAGTCTAGGTAGATTATAAAAATAAATGTTCCGAGGCGGAGAAAAACCATTTCTTTCGCTATTTATCAGTGAGATCAATTTGTCTCGGAGGCGATTAAAAACAAGACAGTCGATGGAGACGAGAAGTGTCCTTGGATCGTTGGACGACCTGAGATCGAGCGCTACTCCTTAATTTATGGTGCCGAGATTCAGTCTGTTTTCGAAACGATAAATCAGCCGTCGCGAAAATTCACAGTCTTATTTACGGGACGGGACGTATTGCGCTGAGATGACCGTGAACAATTGCGACCGATATATTTCTTCGAAAATCGAACCGTGGGATAAAAGCGTTCCGGGCACGCGCGCCACGTTTTATTGTTTATTGCTACGAAGGTGTAACAGATACCGTACCCGATAGTACGAGTACCGTGGCTTTTTACTGCAAGACGCTAGATAATGGAACGTATTAATATTCTGTTGGCGCAACAGCACGAATGGCGCAGGTATGCCATCAGTTCGGCGCGCAACGATGATTGGTACGTGCCTAGCAAGAGTTTCTCACAAGTCCGGGAGGGACGTATTTACGGTGCAGTTATGCCAATCGGGTTAATCGAGAGATATCTTTAATCATATCCGTGCTTTATCGAACCCTTACAATTTCGTCGAACATGTTGACTTTGTTCGGATTTAATCTTGCTAGCAGTTTTTTTATTGCACCCTTTATAACGTTAATTATTTTCGAAATTACAATTTTCACATGTCCCTCACACACATGACGTATTACGTAATACATATATGTCCATTACTATTATTAATTTTAATGACACGATATAGGGTCGCGATATAGGGAAAAATATTGCATTTTAATTATTATATGCTTCAATGTTTGACGAGAAGTATATTTTGGCAGAAAATATAATAATTTTAATCGACGGCCAATGAAAATTTTCGAACGTATCCATTAATATTCACTTAAAAAGGCTCGCATTGAAATGACCACAAAACTTTTGCATTCCAATACACTAAATTTATATATTAATATGCGTTGAAAATTTGCTGTAAAAAATTTTATCGTATTTTGAAGCACCGTCAAAGAAAAGTGCACTTTCTGAAATACCTCGCATGTTTATTCCGGCGTAAGTTATAAATACTCGTGGTTTTGGTATCTTCTCATTTTCTGCATCTTTCCTTCTCTCTCTCTCTCTCTCTTTTTCTTTTTCTCTTTCCTTCTATTCCGCCTCAAAGGTACTTTCAGCTTGGAATAGGCGCGTCGGGTTTAATTGCTGCCTGTTTCATGCAATGTCGGTCGTTAGAACCTCTCGCTGGGCCGTTTTATTAAGCGGCCTCGTCAAAATGTAAATTAAATGCTTTAGGTACGCGCGAGCACGTACTTTTTAGTAATTAACGCTCTCGCATATTGCAAAGACCTACTTCGCATGCGGGGAATCGCGGGGGCTGTCCTGCCCCCGTGTCGTATCTATATTCCATTTGTTATATAATTACGGCAATCATGATCGTTTTGTGCGATTATTAGAGAAAATACCATTATTTCCCGTGAAGGTCTCATCAATTTGTCGGTCGCGCTCGAACCAGATATCGCTCGAATTGTAAATGAATCTCGTGCGATGCATTTTCCACTGTCCGCGAAACGTGCGCGCGCTGCGGTGTTTATTTTTGACACTTGCCTTGTGATATTCGAGTGAAAATTCCATTATTCGTGCCTTTTTCACAATACGTTCTGAAAAGCACGCGTTTGAATCGTTCTCTTTTTTTTTTTTGCGTCACGTGAAAAGCTGAAATATACAAACGGTCGTTATTGTCGTCGCAATTTCTGGCGTGTGTTCTTTGCCAGCGTTTTGAAGCGTGACAACGCCTGATATCATATCACGGAAATATAGCTAAATGGTTAAGTGCCTAAAATCGATAATGCTCTATGATACAGCAAATAGTGCAAATGCAGATAGACGGATTAAAAAGTCAAGAGATTTTATATGTCATATGCATGCATATATGTTTTATTTATATATGTATATATATCTTTATATAATTGCAGCAAATATAGAATTATATGTATATTACTTGAGGTGAGATTTAAAGTCACATATTATAAGTAAAATTTGTGTTTAATTATATTAAAATACCGGTAATTTATTACTTATATTTAATAATTCAATAATAGTACTAATTTCACATTTCACAATTTTTATAAATAAAAAAAATAGAATATATTTTAATATATTCTAAATGAATTGTCAAATTTATATAAATATAAAAAATATTATTAATAACGAAATATTATTGTATAAATTTTCTTGATACAATATCGTGCTCTTAAAACAATACTTTAAGAAAAAGCCATTGTTTGTTGAGGGATTCTTAAAACTCTCGCTGAAAAATGCAAGACGTTAACTTTTTTAATAACTGCGTCCCTCAGATCTGAAAGCAGTCAACTCTCAAAGCTCGCGTCTAATTATTTATCTTTGACCATCCGTTTCGAGCGGATTTTATTGCAATCCGTGAACAAGGTTACTTCTCACAGAGGATTTCGTGGAACGCGATATTGCAATTCCTCCGACGGATTGCTGACGCTTCAAACTGACTTTGATTAAAAGACTGACGCATATACTGATTTTTTTACTGGTTTTCGACGAAGCCCATTATTGTATAGAGTGAGTATGAGTATATATCCTGTTTCAGAGTTTATCTATCTATTGATTTTTCGGTACACGTACAGCTAATTAACCTGCCACAGTCTCGTAAATCGATTAGTAAAGAACATCGGTTTTTCGCGATTTACTGATCTCGATAAGAAAACAGCGTACTAACTTTCTCAATTTTTTTAAATTCTAATTATAACAACGCACACGTTATAAATTAAAGGCTTTTTGTTAGATACAAAAATTAAACATGTTATTTAATTAAAATTTTTTATTTAATTCTTTTTATTAAATTCTTAAATACTTTTAAACGCTCTTACAATTGATATTAACGCACCACACTTCATTGTTAGATTAAAATTCAATTTATAATTTTTAATTAAAATAGTTTTCACATTTTTTTATTGTTGGAAGACATATGGCACTGTTGCTGACAGCGTTGCTTGACGTTTAAAGAGTTAAAAGATTAGGGGGAAAATTCGGTAGAATCTATCAGCGAGCTTTGAGGGAATATCGGAGATGATATGGGAATAGAAGATGGAGATCCCCTAATATCATTTCGTCCTGTCATCGGCAATCCTCCGAACGTCCTCTCGAATCGAACTGAGATAATCTGACTATAAAGCAGGTCGCGTTTCAACCTAGGTAGGGCTTGTCATTGGGCTCCCTCCCCTCCTTGTCGTAATTTCAAGTGACATATATCAAAGGCACGTGTTCTTGCGAAATCTGCCCGCATGAATGATAAGTTGTTGTCTGCCTTTAGGGAGAAGAGAGATTTTTTTTTATATTTACATAATCTAAGTTGATACTCGTGTCTGACCTTTGACTGACTTGATCTACTTATACTGTGTCCAATAATATCCAATATAAAGTAGCCACGTCTTAAAGTCTTTTCTCATATATCTAATGTTAAATAAAATGATACTATTAATACTATTTATCAAACATTTTTATTCGAAAGCATATTAACCGAGCAATGTCTATTAAGGATTAATACAGTAATATTTCATTCCAAATATGTTCTGTAATTTTTTTATCGTTGCCATCAAGTCTTACTACAGATCAATATCATAAAGGTTCTTAATCTGAGATTTGACAAGAGACACTTATTCTTCGCGATAAGAAACATCTAGGATTATTTATTCCATTTATATAAATTATCGATCGTTTTCAATTAGCGGAAACGGATGGTTAACGGCGTAAGGAGAAATCACTGTCGGTGATTTCTCCAGATTCAGAATTACTTTCTCGGCAACGGCCCTAATTAATCGACGTCGTCGCAGTACGCGTGTGTATGCGTGTGTGTGTATATGTGTGTGCCAGGTACGACGCGCCGGAGTACGAGGTGCCCAGGAACAAGTCCAGGTACAGGAGTCGATTTATGCGTCATCGGGACGGCGACGATTCCGACGGTGACTCCAGGTCGACGGTGAGATTCACGTCGGCGCCGCAGGAGTCGTCTGGCCTACGGGAACGAGTTCTGGACACGGAAGACGCCGCGCGCGGTCCCCTGTCCGGTATATTTCGCCTGACGGATTCGCCGCGGGTCATGAAGAAGTTGCAGGAGTCCGAGCGTGCCGGCAAGAGGAAGAAGGAGGAGCCGGCGAGTCAGCCCGTGTCGCAACCACCACAACCACCTAAGCCACAGGTTAGAGCAGCACGTTTCTGACAGCTTAGACGTTAAGGTCTTCAAAGCTAAAGTGGGTCAAGGTCCAAAATTTAGTTGCGCTTTCGTATCTGAAAATTGATCTTAGATCTTGCAGATAATACTTTGCAGATTGAAAACCTGATCTGTTTTAGCTCTGAACTTAGTTTGTTAGTTTGAAACTATTTAATGGTGTATAATACATTGCCCATTACAAAACATACCGGTGCGCTTAATTTGGAACAAAAGAAATATGAATTTAATATTCAGATCGGATTAAATGGCGAAGAAGAATTAATTTGCTGTCTAATCTCGATCAAAGTATAATTATCGATTTGCATGAATTATATTTAATACGGTGGTTTGTTAACAAGAGTATGAGAATAATATAATCGCTGTACTTGGTAAGTATATATTCTACATATTTCTTTATTTCTATATGGTAAATAATTAATTATCTGTCAAACAAAAATCGATACGTTAAAATTATTATTAATAATGCAAATATTTAAAATTATAGTACGTTTTTATTTGACAAGCTCAACGCGATGTTCTCGTAATAAAATATAACGACGATGTTCTGGGATAAAAAGTTATGATATATCATAAATATATACAGCTCTCGTTGCTAATAAAAATTCAAGGTGACAGGCGTAATCCAGATAGATTTCCTGTATGCATACGAAATATATTTTTATGTTATACATGAATTCTGTATATATAAAGCCTCTCTCAACCCTTCGTATATAAGCCATCTTAGGTCGCTCAGTTCTTATATTGGGATATCGATTTGCTTCCCTCGACGCCAACTTTCATAAACATCCGCTATTTTGATAGGCTTCGTATTAAAAACGTGACTGTTCTTAACACAGTGCTATTATTTCGGTAATGTGTACTTGAGTCGAAAAATCTCTGCAAAATTAAAGCGATGTAGATAATGCCGAGAGAAATATATGAACGCGGTTGTTGATAAGAGTGACATGATACACTACATTGCTTCGCGTGACAACAACAATTTTAAAAAAATTCGCATCAATAGATTCGTATACCAATCGACAAATAATCCTCGACGGACATCCGTGTTTTTTTATCGAAGTAACACATGGTTACACTATTGACCCATTTATTTTTCCTCCCTCGACGTTCATATTTTAAATGTTGATGCAGCACGGAGCTCAGTTGATTGAATCGGACAATCGAGCAATCGTCCGGCATCTATATGCAAATCCGCTAGCCGGCGTAAATTTTTTCTACGCCGAAAAATGTACATCCTCTACAGAGAAGCGTATCAGTGAATTTAATCGCCGTTTCCTGCTTATCGATATACCGTATATCGCTGCGTCAATATTTAAACGGCTAAACGTCGACGATACAGTTATTTACGGCCACGAGTGTGTTCAATAAACGCTATTTAATTAGCCTTGCATGCACTTTTAGAAAACACTCGGAAAAAACACCATTTACACCATGGTCGCTGTAATTTGATAACACGGAGATATCAGTAATTGGCAAACGGAAAAATCCACATTTTTATGAAACGAAGAAAGATTTAACGCAATAATTTTATACACTTTCTTCTCAGTTATTTATGTATATTATATAAGAATATGTTACAAGAGAATAAAAATTTTGGAAAAATATATGAATAACGATATAATGTTAGTTAATATATTGAGTAAAACTACAAATCTCTAATTTGGCTTATAAATTTTGATATTGAGCTAATAATGAGTGATTACATAATTAAGTAATTAATTAAGAAGACGATTTGAGTGGGAGTTCGTGAATTTGACGACATCGTATTTATTTTTGACAGTGATACCTCCGCACTTTTGCACAAGGAATCCCTTGTTATGGCAGGCGAAATAAACGGATGGGCACGAACTCTCCATGCTGACGGCCAGTGCAACGAACGAAATATGTTCGATGTCGCGCATCCCATTGTTCGGATGATAGCGGCTGGTGTCAAAACGCTCAATGAACGTACAAACACAAATGTTGACTCGTATATGTAACGAGGACCGTTATCTTAGTCCACGATGATTTATATCAAGTACTATACGCGATGACGAATGAGTGTCATTCCTACGAATGCGGTCAACAAAGTGCCAATCATTATGTAAAATACATAGCTTTAATTTTCTATGATTTTGCGCATACCAGTAGAACGATAGCCGACAACACGTGTGTGTATGTGTGCGTGTGTGTGTGTGTATATAGATAGGATATTGACGGTAATGATAGACAGAAAGAGTAATATATCGAGTGAATTGACCTACATCATTGAAACGTTGTACTTTGCATGAAATACTGCGAATGTAAGGTAACAATACAGTAATTTTACACTTTTATTATTACGTTTCATCATTACGCCACCCACTTAATCCCGCATCACACACGCACTCCTGCTTATTACGGCGCTATATGTACTCGCGAGCGTAGGACGCGTGTAATTGCCGTGCCGATTCACGTATTCGCCACCTGTCGCGTACGTGCCATAACGTTGCATTTAAATGCACGTGCGGATTTCGCGGCCCCAATAAATCGCGCGAAGCATCGAGCGGCTGGCGCGAACCCCCCGGCCCCCCCCGTCCGACAGTCCCGGCACTCGAAGGGAAACGAACGATCCGGATTGCAAATCACGAAGGGAATTGAGCGAGGTTCGATCGCGATTACACCGTGGTGCAATGTGGCGAAACGCCGCAGTATTCTCGCCATAAGTGATTTTTTGACGCGCAGGTACAAGTGAGAAAGGTACTACCGACCGCGGTGGCGAGACAGACCAGCGAGGACGACGAGATCTCGAGGATCAAGAAACAGAACAAGAATGCCGCGGCGACCGCCGCCGCTGTCCACCCCGAGACGGTGGAGGAGAGGCAACCGATTTCGACGCCCGCTTCCATTCATCCGCCGCCACCGAGAGAACTTCCGGAACGGGAACCCGACGAGCAGCCGGTCAGGAGACCCGCCGTCGCCAGGTAAACGAAACTGTCAAACTTTATTATAAAAATTCTAGCAGCAAACACGTGAAAGAGAATTGTCCAGTTAGAAAATTCTACGAAAAATTAACATATCTCATAAAATGTGTGTAATTGATTATTCGGTTACAAGTAGAACGATACACAAATTCTTCAATCGGAAATTAATGTTAGTTTGGACATCGTGCCGAGTGCCGAGACCGCGTTTAAAAAGTTGAGACAGTTGCAGGGAGAAACCTCATTAAAGCCACAAATTTCCTCGACTCCGACGTAAACTATTTCTTAAGACGGTAAATCAACATGGGTCCCCCCGAAGGAATGAAAGACCCGAAGACGCGTTTGCTCACGTAGATATTAATCACGCCGCGTGGTAACCGTGGGATTCGCAGTCAGCGGTACTCGCGTTATATCGGACTTAAGCGCGGAGTTCGCGGCGCAACGTTGTTATGGCGCAAACAAGTAACTTGTTCGAGTTCTACGCTGCGTTATTAACGTGCTTGTTTGTAATATTGTTGCCCGCGCAGGAGAACTTCAGCGGAAACTCACGCGCCCCCCGCGGCTAGGAGTGCTTCGTCGGACTCGAGCACGGGCTCCGAGAGCTCGGCGGGATCCGGAATACGCAGTACCGGCGCGCCGTTCACGACCGAGGAGATGAAGCAGAAGTACTTGTCGAGAGCACCTCCGACCAGTACAACGACGACCGTCTCCACCGCAACCGGCAGAGAGTCATCGAATCCCGCCCCACCGACTCCCCGAGCACCGTTTCAGAGCCGTTTTTTAGGCGCAGGTAATTCAATCGTGCAATTATTAGTGCAGTTCTTAAGATCCGGAGCTTAAGACGAACGAGATGGTAATTAAGCTCAACGCGAGTTATAAACGATAGTGTGGCGACGCGCTATCGAATAAATGATTACTTCTTCGTGACGGAGAGAAAAGTATTTTGAGTTTTTATTTGACGGAAGTAGAAGATGTACACAAGATCTTTTTCGAGATGACAATATTCACAAATCTCATTGTAAACTGAAATTAAAATTGAACTTTTTACAATCAAAGAGAGTGTGGAACGGGCTAAGTAATTGAACTTTTTACCATCAGCGTAATCAAGAGACACGGTAGTGTCTCTCGCGCCAAGTACACGCGAAGCGAGACCGCTCCGTGACTCTTTTACGCGAATTAATGCAACGCTAAGACTCTCTTATAATCGATCATGGTTCTTTTCCATTGGGAAACATTTCTCCCTATCAAAGAACTTTTTCCAACTATTGAAAAGAGGTAGTACAATTGCAATTTAATAGATACACGTAAAGTATTGACAGTATCTAAAAGAGTCGCGCATAGAATTTATCTGTATGTTGCAGCGAAGAGGGAACAATGCAGTGGATTGTAATCGAAAGGTTGACCCTTTTACCACATTCGTAGCTAGAAACCGTTCTATCCGCGACACGTCCCAATTTCGTTGTGTGCCTATTACCCATTGTTTATACGAAGTGAATCGAAAGCACGTCTCTGTTCGCTTCGTACGCTAATCCTGCCTCTAGCGCATCTATTGTATTTCTCGGTACTCCGTCGAGCACCTCACGCGGAAATTGGATGTACAGACAAATTTGCGTTTAACCTTCCGCCTCTATCTCGGGAGACTTAATTCACGCATAAAACTTTGGTAGTTCCTCAGAAACGCAATAACAAACTTCAAACAAGTTCAGTACATAAAATTAAGTAAAGTGGTATTATATGGTACTTTTTAGATTACCGATATCGCATCGATAAGGCACAAGATATTAGTTAAATATTCAAGTAAATAGTTTGTTTGAAATTCTCATATATTTTTTGATACGTTACATATCTCGAAGAATTTTTAAGAGAAATAAGAACGGAGCTTTTACCGGAATTAGCTGATAAACATCGGGTTTGATTGTAGAAGGCGTTCCGTGTTCGATTATGCGAATGTCCGCGTGTCCATTACAATCGTCCTAATCCCGTAGGGACGCGAAGGGTGTACGTAAAACGCAGCTGCGGAGCACCAACACGATCGTGCGACAACGTTGCGATTCGAAAATGTAACTGCGACGTCGAGCCTGGCGCAATATTCCAAGATTTGAGAGGCGAAATTGGTGCCGGCAAGCAGACCGGCGCGCGACACGATAATTACGTTATCCATTCGGCGCTCTTAGTTAACGCTGTCGCTTCGCTTTTCCGACACTGTGTCCCGGCTGTCATATCTCCGCTCAAATCCATGTGTTAAGTCGGAGGTAACGTATTTCGCATGTATAAGTGAGATACGCGGACGGACGTGACGATATTCGCGTTGCTACTTCTTGTTTCCGACCAGCGCTGTCAGTCGATATGATCGGTCCGTTTTCTTGTCGCGTTTCCGTCAACCGTGAACACGTAGATGACGCGAAAGGGGGAAGACATCCTATTCCCGCACCTGAGATTGCATAAACGCACATTCCCATGCACCGCGACAGGTCCTCACCGCTTGTCGCTCACCGTGTCCTTTATCCGTGACTGTATTTCTTAGCTTGACATTACGATATATCTTTATATTAAAACCAAATCTGATTTTCCTAGGAAATGTACAATAACTTTGATTACAAAATAAGAAAAAAACTCGTAAGATATTTATTATCAGTGCTCGAATGTCATTTCTTATATCATCGTTAATTAAGCACATGAAATTTATGCGTAACTGTCAATTAAATCTTTTAACATTAAGTTTAGGATTAAAAATGGAAATCATGTTGGCGTGAATTTTCAGGTAACCGTGCGGCTCCACCACCGCCGGTCCAGACGCCGCGGGAGGAGCCAGCGGCGAAGAAGAAGGAAGAGGAGGAGGACGAAGACGAGGAGACAAGCAGCTCTTCCGAGGAGACGGAGTCGGACAGTGAAGAAGAGTCGGAAACAGACGGTCATCCGTCCAAGACTACCCCAACCGCAGCTTCCGCTACTTCTCAAGATCGTCAGAGAAGCGAATCCGCTATGGCACGCACCGACATCGGGCCTTTACTCGCTCGCAGCGCCGAAGCTAGAAGAGGAAGCAAGGAAGATTCGCCTTCCACCAGGCAAGTATCTCTCAATTCTAAGAACCGATCCGTATGATGAGCGAGAGGCTTAATCTTCAACTAATATGATGATAAAAATATCAACTTGATCTTAAAGAAGAGGCTTAATCTTTTAGAAATGTGAAAACTTAACGTGTGTGTTTATTTTAATGTATTTAAAAGGGATAATATTATTCATTTATTAAATTACAGCTGATATCACATAGTAATCACGTTGTAGAAATTTAATCATGACAGTTGACGATTAATGCCTTTTCGAATCTTCACTGATTCGTGTTGTTATCAAATATGAATAGAACCTATGCACACACGTTAACGATTGTCAAAAGCACGCTTAGTTCAGATAAAAAAGGAAAATTAATGAGAATTTTCTACAAAAAATAATATCTGTCATAATCGTAAAATCAGAAATATAAAATTAAATATTTAAAATATTAAATTTATTTAAATTTAATTTTAAATTTTATCTTTTTTTGTATGAAATTGGAAAAGTTAACTACAATTCTCTCTTTCTTTTATTCTTTTTCTGCTTTGATATATAGTTCTCAAGCAATAGTATTATCCGTCTCGTGAAAATCTCTCTCTCTTTCTTTTCTTACTTTTTAATAAAAAATCCGAAGTTGTCGAACTTGCACGTTCTCTACTCTACTCACAGAAACTATGGTGGGGTTTTCGTTCGTGTGTTACCGTGTTTATTTGCGTTGGTTGCGAGAGCGGTAGCATCGCGCACACGCACCCGTCGTTCTCTCCCGTCGCATTCGAGAGCATACGAATGCGCTCACTCGCGCTGAATTTCGAAGTAAGCTTACTCCCCTTCCCCTGACAGTCGCAATCCTCTCGCTCGAAACTGTGGCCTAAGGAAACGAGAGACGGCTGGGAGAGAACAGGGAGAGACCAGGCGAAGCCGTAAGTGCTCTCCCTGGCCCGACCCGGCGACTCCCTTCGGCTTTTGTAAAAGAATCACGTGGACCGTTCCCCATCGCGCCCGCTGCTATCAGAAACTTTCCACGTAGTGCTGCGGAAACTGATTAGCTGCTCAGTCTGGCGATGAATTGTAATACATTAGGACGTGTAAATTTGACCGCGAGCACGCGTTTGCACTCGAGAAGCACGTGATAAAGTGGTGCATCCATTTTCCATCTAAGAAATATCAATCAACTTTTATTTTTATTCATGTTTTAATTAATTACTTAATTAAAATTTTGTTTGATGCTTCGCTCAAATTTAAATTTTTTGCTAGGAATAGGAAGACTATTATTCTATTCTACTCTATCGTGGACGAGTATTGTTGCGCTTTGCATACAAAGCGACACCGCGTAATCGTCGTTTGCACAGAATATTTCTTATGTAAATGAAAATAAAATTAGGTAACTAGACGTTGAGTCGGCGTGAGATGTATAAAGTAAGATAAATACATAGAGAGTAAGATCATTAATCGTGCAATCTCGCGCCTCGATCCTAATGGAAGACGCGCGATAAGCTTACCTAACCGCTAGTGGCAGTTAGGAAATAAACGTGACCTCAATCTTAAAGAGAGAAAGATTATCGGAGCTGATGTGCTACATTGTCCGATGAGTTACGCTCTCGAGGACGCAATCAAGCCGACACCCCAAAGCACCAATCCCTTAGTAGTATTAGTAGTAGCCAGAAGCCCAGAATAAGGAGAGAAAGTTCCGACCGATCACTCGTGTCTCAGGTATTCGTCGCCGAGGGGCAGCCCCGCGCAATCCGTGACGACGACGACGACGACGATGACGACGCCGAGTGGCGGCGGCGGTGGTGGCGGCGGCGGCGGCGCCGCGATGACAACGACGACGTCGACGCCGGGCGGCTACACCAGCAGGTTCGTAGCGCACGTAGCTCACGGTCAAACGACTGCTCATGATGAGGCCACTTTTAATTCCAGTAACCCCCTCGACCGTAATCGTTTTAGGGCGTTTAGCGCGGACGGTACCGACGAAAGGTGCTCGGCCGGTCGCGTCGACGACGGTAGAGTAATCGCGGCTACGGCTACGATCGCGGATTCCGCTTATGACGTCGACGCCGACGGGGACGCGGTTAAATCGCAGGCGACGAACGCTAGCTCGGCACAAACGGACGTTATTACGGACAAATCAACCACCTCATCCACCTCTTCCCACCTCGCGATTACCGAACCCGAAAATCTCCTCGGGGGTAGCCGCGGCGATAGTCGAATTGCGAGTGTGACATCCGAGGACGCGTTAATTCAAGATCATTCCGAGAACAAGGAGATCTCGTTGGTAGCCGCAGGTCGCAGCCGGGACGAATCTATCGCGACTAAAGATAATTCCGACATGAGGAGAAGCGACACGGAAAAAGTGACGTCCAAAAAGCGTGATTTCGAAGACGTTCCTAATTCTGTTCGAATCATCGTGGAAGATGTCGACGCCTCTGTCTCCGAGGAGTTGGATTTCACGAGTCAAACCATCGAGATGATCGACGAGCGTAGAGATCGCTCGAGGTCTAAAGAGTCTCACAGCGTTTCCGAATGTTCGAGTTCTGTCAGTGGACGAACGATGTCCTACAGCGAATCGGAGAGCGATTCCGAAAGTGGCTCCGAGGAAGAAGATGAGGAGGAAGACGACGAGTCTCGAGATGAAAACTGCAACGTCAAGAACGGGAAAAAGGAGAAGAACAAGGACGATGGAAATTACGATAATAAAGATAGCGCGGAAAGCGAGGCTAACGAGGAGAATAAAGATTCCTCGAACTCCGAAAGTGATGAGGAGACTACGGTGCTGAGCATTAGCTCGAACACCCGAGCCGAAAGCAGCGTGACGCCTGACGACTGTTACGAGAGGGATTTGAAGCGCCGAAGCGCCTCGATAATCGACGATAGGAGCATCGAGGAGATGTTCGACGATAATGGCTGGGTGGTCACGGAGCAAGATCTAGAGCAGGATCTGCAGGCTGATCTGCAAACGATTCCGTTGGATGTTGAATCCACGGTCGATCGCCCTTCCGAAGAGACTGCAAACTCTATCGGCGACGTCAACGACGCGGCAGAGACACGTATCGAAGAAATTATTCCAAGAATCGTCGAAGAGAGACGCGACGAGATGTCGAGTAAAGTCGAGGATTCCTCCGCGCGATCGTGCACCGTCGACGACGCCGAGACGGTTCCCCAGAGCGAACGGCCCGAAGTTCTGTCAAGAAGTCACGTGTACAGGCAGAGCAGTCTGGGTAAGAACGGATGGCTAGTCTCCGACGAGTCCGAGAGCGAGTCCGACCGGACTACCTCACCGATCGAAGCCTCTTCCAATCGAGACGTTGCTAGAATCGGGTCCGCGAGCGAACTGATGGAGATCGACGGAATCGAAGAGAGCACGGGCGACATCGACGAGAACGGGTGGGTGATACTTGACGACGACGACTACGACGACGACGACGTCGACATAGAGCGTATAGGGGATAGCGGCGCGCAGGAGAACACGAGCACGATTCGTTCCCAAACGACCGACCTCGTAAACTCAAAAACTAACATTGAGAACGGTGCATTAGTCGCGAACGTTGCCACGCGGTCAAAGGGCACCGAGCAGTCAGGGCCCGGCGAGCACGAGGAAACGCCCGGCGCCAGTATGAGTGTACCGATGCAAATGGTAACCACCGTCTTCTGTGTGTCTGTACTGTGTTACAGCGTTCTAACGAATCTGTTCCCCTAATCCGCAAAGCTCTCTCTCCCTGACGTTACGCAAATACGTTACGAATCTCCTCCAGTTCCTCTCACACTTTCTCTCTGTCTCTCGCGTCGTCTCGGTTTCCGCGTTCAGGATGAAAGACCGACCCGTAGACCATGCACGAGAGTTTACGCAGAAACTGACGGGACTGACGAATTTTGCCGCGAGTGACGACGCAGCAGTTCTCCGAAGGGACACTCGATCTCTTATTTGCTTCATACAAATATTATTAGCCTTACATTACAGGTTAAATTATGATTAGACTTCTGATTTGAGTTTCGTATAATTTGTAAACCTAATTATAAGACGTTTAATTTGTAGAAAAAAAATTACAGCTTTCTAAATCGTTTGACTCTTTTACTGCTTGATTGAAGGAGAAGAAAATAGTTTGAAGCTCTTACTAATTAATTATTTAATAAATTATGCTGTTATTAACAAACACCATTACATATCTGAATTTCGATTAATATCCAACTAATTCTAATCAGATTTCAATTAATTTTCGAAACTAAGCATCTCGAAATCAGGATGCATAAAATCATATTATACCGATTAATAATATTACAATAGGAAATTTAAGGAAAGTATATAGTAACAAGAACGTAGAAAAATATATATCGATTCGTTAAAAGACTGCTGCTCGAAACTCGCGCATCTCGCGTCTTCTCTGGCCGACGCCGTCGAATAGAAAGGTACTGTCGGAGAACGTAATCTATCTATCCACGCTATGCACGGTAAACCTGCATTTTTTATACATTGTGATAATCGTAATTACGGCCGAGTGCCATTGTTCCTATATTTGTCGATCCGCGAAGCGTGTGTGACCCCACGTTGTTCAAATACGGTATCTTCGTGGCCGCGTTTTTTTTTTTGCCTTATGCGTGCAAACATATACGCACGTGCGCGCCCGCGTTATTGTCGCGTCCGGTAGCGAAACAGTTTTTAATTCGCCGCTTTCGCGCTGAGCTTCTTAAAAGCCGTACCCGAGAAAACGAGGTAGAGGCGTCGGACGACCCTTGCCACCGCGGGTCGGCTGTCTCCGCACGCGCATCGCGTATATCTATTATAAGTTTTTGTACTCTCTCCTTATAGCGAATAGGCTTGCGTCACAGTTTGTCGGTGTGGTAAATAAACTGCATTTCTTTGTGATAACTCGTATTATTTATTTCCCTCTCAACTGTCCTCAGTATCGGTGCGTGATAACAAGCACAAAGTGTCGGATCCCGCTTGTAAATCTTGTTCGTAACACCTCTCCTCTTGTTCTTTCCTTTTCTTTCTTTTTCTGGTTGTTCCCTTTTTCTCTCCTCTGTCAACTCTTTTACCCTCTGTCCCAAAATCTTCCAATTGCGTTCTTCAATCCCTGATATCGTTCATTGTTCCTATCCACATGTGTCGTCACTGAAACAAAAAGCGGGATACGATAAGTACGAGAAGAATGCATATTTATTTATTGCACTAACAGATTGTACGTAAAATCGCATCACTATGTTGATCGATGGACGTCGATGGTCGGCAGATGGAGGCGGCAGTCCAGATTCGTCGTTCGTTTCGATCGCTAGATTATTCATTATCGAAATGTTTCTCAAAAGTAATCTCCATCTAAATCTCATTATGTGTTATCTCTGAGATACCGTGAGAGATTTCCTTTTTAATTTTCTATTTTTTAAATATAGAAAGATTTATGAATCTCTTATTGCGATGTAGATATTATATAATCTCATCTCTTTCTAGCATTTATAAAATCTATTGCAAAAAGATAATGGACAGAGCTGGAATCATTGTTTTGAGATTCATTCTGAATGATTCATGAAATGATTCTTGCTAATGCGCGACATGATTATTTGCAGACAGGTCTTTCATGCTTCTTTAGGTTGAATGGCGTTTCAGACACAAATTTTTGCGATATTGCGACTTTTTAAATCTATATGACATCAATTTTTTGCGTAGTTTGTCTTCAAGACAGGCACGCTCATTTTCGTTGAAACATTATTTCGAGGAGAATATGTTAAAGTGGTAGAACATTGGATCTCTCTCTCTCTCATTCGATTACAAGTAGGTACCATATAAGGGAAATGGATGTATGCTTTCGGATAGCAGAATCAAGTACATAAATTATTTTTTGGAAAATTCACAACAAGTTTAGAAATTTCATAGGAAAATCTGTACTTCATAATACAGTTTATATACGACTAACTCGTTACACTTTTCTATTATGCAGTTCAGTTATTTTTGCGCACGTTATTTTTGCGGATAATTTTGTTGTGAAAATTAAAATATCAAATAGTTGTATAATTTTTAATTTTTATGGTAATAATTAATTAAAATATCATTTAGATCATAATATATTCGATATAAATTTGTTATATTTTCCAGCTATATAATAATAGCGAGTTTTAACGGTAATATTCCAAACTTTATTTGTGATCCATAATATTAACTTTATTACTATATATTTATTCGAAACGGAGATTGTGCATCGTTATTTTTTTGTCTCAAACTACGCCTACGGTAAAAATATATGGTCGAGCCTCTCTCGTAATCCATACTACAAAAATATACTCGCGCCGCCGAAAATGGATTACTGCATAACGTTAGGCGGTATTCTTAGCACGTTGCACACCCCGCTTGCCGTTATAACGAATCGACACTGTCGAAACTTCGCAGCTCCTACACGGCCGTTTGGGAGAAACGTAGAGCCATCGATCCACCGCCGCAATCTGATCTACCAGTTTCGTAAACTGGAAACTTCTTACTTCGTGACACGTCGGTTCTACCGATGCACTGGGACCCGACCTAATACAGGCGAAATACGAACTTAGTTGAGGGGGGGGTTCAGTGCAAAGTCATACAAACCGGGCGCGCGATAAACTATGTTTATACCGAAGTTTGCGGACATTCATGAACTTTCTCAAATTCGAGCGAACCTACACAAACATTGTTTGACGCAATCCGAAAATTTCATCCTCATCACGCAGTTTACCTTATACGCAACGCTAACTCCGCTCCAGGATGTTAATTGCTAGTTTAATACAATGAGATTCACATTTCCCCAGTTATTTGTGGTTAATCAGCAGTAATCATATACACGAGTCTATTATCTGTATACAGTTTAAATGTTGCATTAGGAACATTTTTCGAATCAAAGGAACATTTATCAAATTTAAAGCCGAGTGTAGAATTTTAACGAAATAAAGTCTAAAATAAAATATTACTTATTTTAAGCTTTTTAGTAAGTAGCTTAGTTGATTTTTTTGTTAGCCTTTTCGAAATTTTCCGATTATTTTGTAACAAAAGAATAACAGCTCTAATTTTTGCTTCTCGATAATAAACACGCTTACGAGAATGATGTGTGCATGACATACGTATATACGAATCATAGTAAAACACTTATTTGCATATTCACCGTAGTCATGTATACAGGATGTCTCACGAATCTGTCATAAAAAGTGCGGCGCATCGGTGGTCCCCGATGATTGCACTCATCTATGGAGCTGGAATCGAATCAGATCAGTGGCTGCTTCGTAAGCATAGATTATTTTTTTTATTAAAATCGAAAGCATAAAAGTCGTAATGTCACGATCCGGCAAGTGTAACGACATCTTCTACTGTAAATTGCTCACTGACGATGAACGCTTCCGGCAAGTGTACAGACCACACTTCAGACGCAATTAGCGTAGAGATTAATCACACTGATCTCGCAGCTTATCTCATTGTTGTCTCGTTGAATTAATACTTGACATGATTTTATGTAGTAATAATGATTGTCCATATCTGTAATGCTTCAAACGATAAAAAGAGAAGGCTTCAACTGATACTTCGCAAGGCATTGTGCCTGTATGCTCTCATTATTTGTCGTTTGTACGCAGTATGTAAAACCTTGAAGTCCAGCTGGACATGACATTAAAGTTTCATGCGCCCGCACATCCCTGTACAACGACTCGAGACCGCAAGAATTTTGTATATCGCGAACAATGGATAGATTCACGGACAATCAAATGCAAATCTCGTCCTCATAAGGTTAATCCCATAAACGAGATAGTGGTACCGGCACAAAGTCTACCAACATGTATACATGAAAAGCAGTTAACCCCTTAACTTTGTTATTCCGGTTATCCCGGTACTCATTAGAGCATGCAATTTACGACACGCCCGTATTATTTTGTCTTTTAATATTCGCGTGCAATGCGCACGCCTCGGTTTAGCATAAATAGCATTTTCTACGGGCGCACCGCACAAAATAAGTTTAATGTACTACGCTTGTGTAATTGGTAAATATGTTGTTTGTTATTTATACACAGCGTACACTGGAGTTTAATTAGTACAGTACTAATTTTGCAAAATTATAATAATGACCATATAATTTTCACGAAATTATTTCTTTCAATGCCGAATAATTTTCTTTTTAATGAATATACCCCTTTGTCTTCATTAACATATGATAAAAGATAAAATTATTGCTAATAAGATGCAGTTAACGCAATAAACACGCGATGCGCACAAGCGAGGCATTTCCGGGCATTTCTTTCGAACATTTTTACTTTGAAAGCGACTCTCTTTTTTAAATAAAGCGCGATACAGACGTATTGTCCGCCCGTATTCATCGATAAGCGTTTTTGTTATACGATTTTGCGCCCCTACGTGTTTGCAGTGTTTGCGACGCCTTAGTCTGCGCTACGCGGCACGCATGCACCGAAATAGCTGGATGCAAGGTCTCACTCGAAAGTCGAAAATACGACCGCAGAGATACCGTTCGCTCTCACGATGGGTATATATCGTCTTTCCCGCGTGCGTGTCGGGGCACTCTCGCGTACCCTCCAATGTTCGGGGTGTGCGATTACCTAAAATCTACTCGAATTCAACTTGAACGATCGCGGTCCAGATCGAGCGAGAGAAGCCGGGCACTTGAGAGTAGTTCGAAAATCCTCTCGGGAAAATTGATCACCAGAAAATATGAAGAAACTGGAACGGAGCTATGTTGTTTGGATTACCGGTTGATATCTCGAAAATTCGAGGAATGTTCGGATAATCCGGACATTCGCAGAAGCACATTAACAAAAATATTTTAGGAAATAATAATGTTATAGTGGAAAATCGAATTTAGTTGTTGTTTTAACGTTTTACAATTAACAACGTTATGCTTCTAGACGGTTTTACGTATCATCTAGCAAATACGCAAGATAGATAAGACGAGATTATATATATTTCTCTTTTATCTTATAATTTGCTGCTTATATAATTATCCCATTGTATTTTACAGTAATTATTTATTATAAATGTCATTAAATGCATACGTGTCAAATGGAAATTTGCTCTTGTATAAATAATTATGCGTCACAGAGAATCTTTTACAGAATTTTTCTATAGAATTCTAAACAACAACCTCTAAGATGCTCGCAATAAAATGCCCGAAAAAATGAAGTAATAATGTTTTATCTTAATATCTTGTGGAAGTTGGATTATGATAGATAGATTATTTTCTCAGAGAGGAAGATCTTCAAATTATTTCTATGTTATAAAGTTATTTTTGCAAGAGTAAAATAATTCCATCTCGCGATATTAACATAAAGAGAATAAATTCTCGATGCAGATGAACTGAGCGCGCTGTCTGCCTGATGTTTCAGGTTCTTGAACAAGAGCAGAAGTCAAGCGGCGATGATGGCCCGCGAACGGGAACGGGAACGCGATCGTGAACGTGAACGTGAACGTGAGCGCGATCGAGAACGCGAGCGGGAACGCGAGAGGGAACGCGAGAGGGATGTGGATGCGGAGATCGACTCGCCCTTGTCGACGAGATCCCGCTACGCGGCCCTGAAGGAACGCCGACAACGGCTGGCACGTTCCAGGAGCTCGCACAACTTCGGCGGCGAGGATCTCGACCTGGACGAGGAACCACCATCGCCAACTACCCAGTCGCCGAACGCCTACCTAGCGGCGAAATACGGCGCCGGCTCCGAACTGGCACGGAGCCGCAGCACCCACGCCCTGAAGTCGAGGGAGCCGAGCCCGGAACGCGATCGACCGGGCGCGGAAAAGGACGGCGCGGCCTTGAGCTCCTGGGCCAGGTACCTCAAGAACAAGTACGGCAACCGCACCACCAAGGACAAGGAACCGCCCTCCTCGTCCTCCACGATACCTTCGTCCAGGTAGGCAGGCTCGAGTACAGAATTTTTAACGAACAAATGCGCGGGACGCGGCGCAGGAAATCAAAGATCGATCCTAATCTTCGAAATTCGTCAGAGCTTCACGTTTATTGCAAATATTTGAATGATTGAAAGCTCTACGCGCGACTGTACTAATTAATTGTCTATTTTCCACATAATGAATATAAATTGCTAGTCACATTGCAAATAGTGTAACATACAATCCCGCACAATATCAATAAAGCTTTAATCTCATTGTACGCATAATGATTCAGAATATTATGCGCGCATTGGAATCAATACGGTTATTAGGCATATCATTATATTTATTATTATATAGATCACATTAGTGCGCGGAGTTTAACGCTGTTGTTATAAAAGAAACGAGATAGCAATTAATCCGTATAATTGATTGTCAATTATAATTTTGTACGAATGTCGAAATAATTTCCGCAGCACCAGCGCGGCTTCGCGAAGGCTGTCGTTGGGCTTGCCTCTGAGGCACGCCGGGCAAACATCCTTCGAATCTTCTGACGACGACCAAAAAAACCCGTCAGGCTCCCCCACGTCCCCTACAGCAGCTCCCGTTATACCCGCGGCAGCAGGTTCCTCCACTAGGTGAGCCTTAATCATATTATGTTACGTAAGGACACAAGGGGATGCCATAAAAGCGCGTCTCAAGCAGCTACTTATATAATTTCAATTACGTTACATAAAAGGCAACGTAAAAACGAGAGACAAGAGAATCTGGCGTTTCAAGCATTCTGGCGTTTTAGTTTTCTTCTTTCGTCTACGACGTTACATATTTTTTCTTTAAAGTTCATGAATGAAAACGCCGTATCTTGGCGAAAATCCAATTTGGGAAACGGCTGAATGCGAGCCGCGAAGTTTCGCCCGGTTTTCCTGTTCAATACTCTCTGGCGAAGCCTGCGCCTGAGAGAAGAGGAAGAAAGTTTCATAGTTTCATAGTTTATAGAAAGGATGGGATGCATTACTTGTTAGAAAGAACGTATGAGACTTTCTAAATATGCCACGGACAAGCTTGAATCGGAGGAGGGGGGAAAAGTCCGTCGGATGCAGCGAGGAGCCAGCCATTGCAATCAAAACACTTTATCCTCGTTATCCGTTGCGTTGCTCTCTCCGGGACTTCTCGCGCGGTCATAATTCTCGAAGATCTACCGCTGTTTCCGCCGGAGTGAAACATCGCGTCTCTCTTGAAAAGTGGATTTACGAAAAACATTCCTCTAAGAACAGCGGCGCACAATGAAGATACAGAGCCTCACTATATCCGAGTTTGCTTCTTTCTGTTCTTCCCGCGCTATCTCTCTCTCTCTCTCTCTCTCTCTCCCTCCGACTGCGCTCGCCCCGCAAACTTTTCTTAACACAATAGGGTTTCGGGAGTTGTATCAGATGAAGAATAATTGCGTTTATCACGTAAACGTTTGCGCGTAACCGCATGATTAACTACGCGGCCGGACAAACGATCCCTCCGGAGAGATCCATAATCGCGGGAATATTGGAAATCTTCGCCTAAGCCTTATTAACCGCTCCACTAATTGATTCCAGCAATGGTCGGAGGAGTCATTACTTGCTGAAGCGGCGGCAGCTGTTTAAGTTCGGGATGCGGGGGAGCGAAGCCGGATGCTTTACCTGGCCAAGAGGCCTCGCAGTCGGCCCAGACAACTCCATCGTCGTGGCCGACAGCTCCAACCATCGTGTTCAAGTAAGTCATTCTTCTAATCTCAAAGTCGGTCCCGAAATTGGATCATATTTAAACACTGCGTCAAATGCGAGAAGTGAAAAATTATTTGATAGATCAAATGGCATAACAATGTTCCAACGATAAAACTGTTGGAAAAAAATTGATAGAAGATTACATCAGTTGTAAAAAATAGTAATTTTGAAAGCTGAATCGTTTTCCCGTGTAGCAATTTGTCAAATTCAATATTGGCGACAGTGTGCCTCGATAAATCAATCGCGTCGCTTAAGGCAATAACAGTTAATTTAATACGAGCGCGTAAAACTGAAGTAGCGAAGCCTTCAGGATTTTACGAGCACCGGGCCCGTGGTATCGACAATCGTAAACAAGGTACGGAGGAAAAATTTCTCGTCCTGATCCTGGTCCTGGTTATCGCGGTCGGCCGCGAGAACCGATATTAATATCGATGTAAACGACCGTGCACCGCTCGGTCCGCAGGTATTCGACGGTAATGGGAACTTCGTGAAGGAGTTCGGAACGTACGGCAGCGGCGAGGGCGAGTTCGATTGCCTCGCCGGGGTGGCCGTAAACCGAATCGGGCAGTACATCATCGCGGACCGCTACAACCACAGGATCCAGGTGCTCGATCCGTCCGGCCGCTTCCTGCGGGCCTTCGGCTCTCAGGGCACCGCCGACGGCAGGTTCAATTATCCCTGGGGCATCACCACCGACGCCCTCGGATTCATCTACGTGTGTGACAAGGAGAATCATCGCGTGCAGGTGCGTGCCTTAACACAAGGCTAATCGATCAACTCGAATAATTAACTGATTATTTGAGAGAACGTTGATTAACATCACAATTTCTACTTTTCTCCCTCAAATATTTTCTCGTGGCGTCGTTAATTTTATATTACATAAAATATATCAGATAAGATAAAATTGCGAAGATATATAAGCTCAGTAAATTTCAATGTCTCGTTAATTTTTAACTACTTAAAAGCATCGTGCTTTTACACTAGCTCTTACTTTAATGACAATACGTGACCACCTTGGGGTATCGTTCGCAGGTATTTCAATCGGATGGCACGTTCGTGGGCAAGTTTGGTTCGTGCGGTAGCGGACGCGGCCAGTTAGAACACCCGCATTATATCGCGGTGAGCAACACCAATCGAGTGATCGTCAGCGACGGCAACAATCATCGCGTGCAAATATTTGACGTAAACGGCCGCGTGTTGACGTCCTTCGGCTCGGAGGGCTCGGACGAGGGCCAGTTCAAGTTCCCGCGGGGCGTCGCCGTGGACGATCAGGGCTACATCCTCGTCGCCGACTCCGGTAACAATCGCATACAGATCTTCAGCCCCGACGGCACCTTCCTCAAGTCCTTCGGCTGCTGGGGCAGCGGCGACGGCGAATTCAAAGGTCTCGAGGGGGTCGCCGTCACCTCCACCGGCAACATCGTCGTTTGCGATCGCGAGAATCACCGGGTCCAAGTATTCTGAGTTCGTCGATTACGTTGATTACATTTCGTTTAATGAAAGAACTCTGCTCTTTTACCAAATAGGTACGTGTTGATCGATATTCGCGTTTATTAATACTGTTAATGATAAGCGAAAGTATTGAGAAAATATCTCTAGACAATGTCGTATATTTTTGGAAGAGTGCATCGACATTAGGGGTCTGAATAAATATCTGCGGAGTCGAGTTTCAATAATCTCGAATAATTTTTTCGCGTTTTTTTTTTTTTAATCTGAAATCTCTAACGAATATTTAGCAAAGCTCGAAATTGAAAAAAAAAGTAGAAAAAAAATAAGATACAGATAATAGTTCCAAATATTATGGAAGGTCAATTATTGTAATATTAAAATTGATATATAATATCTTGAAAAATATACGAACTTCAATATTGGATCATTTCTATAATTTAGCGATTTTTAATAGAAACATTCTGCAAACATTATATTATTAATGTCCTCTATAAACCGGGGGTGAGATATTAGCCTGTTTTATTTATTCGTCATGAATATTAACACAGACATTTTCTTTATCTACTCTCGTTGAAAAACTCACGATTCTTATGAAGCTTGTTATAATTTATTTCACTCTTTATTGCCTGGAAAATGACTTCCATTATCTCACCATAATAAATTCATCGCGTTCGTTGTTTCTGTCTAATAAAATAATAATACACGAAAATAGTCTTTTCCGCAAAGTGACGACTCTTTCGCGCTTCTCTATGAATAAAAAAAATCCACTACCGTAAAAACGGTTGTTTACCTCAGATTGCGTTGTAAATAATTAATAACTCTGATTGATGCGCGTGAAATTCTGAATTTAGTGTCTTCGTTGACAACTAGATTAATATTAACGAAATAATTTGTCTTTACTAATATTATTTTTACCCAGAACTGGGGATCTAGTGAACAATTTAAAGGAAAGTCCGCAAATTTTGATGATTATTTATCATCTTTCTATTCCGCTCGCATCGCGACCATAGGAGTCGGTATAGCGGCGTAAACAAAATTGGCAAAATAGAAAATAGCACAGGTTTTCTATTTCGAGCTAATTTCTTTATTATCAAAATTTTCCGGACAAGCCATACAGTCTCAACGCTCCCGCGTTTCTCGTTGCGAAACACGTAGATTTGCCATTGCTTTTCTGCGGTTTACCGCGTTCGTTTCTCGTGTCACTTTGACGAATATTGGATTCATACACTCGGCGCACGACGCGATATAGAATGAAAGAAATATCAGAATGGACGGAATGGCAGAGAGAAAAGCCTGAAAAGAAGAAAAAATAATACAGCAATCATATCGACGAGCTGAACGACGCGTGAATAGAATCGCCCCGCTCGCTCAACAGCGAGTGGTCCGAATTCTCGGAGAAAATCTTGGACCCTGGTAGAATCTCCGGTCGACAGCTTTGAAAAATACACACGGCCGTGTTTGCCTTTTCGTCCCTCTCTATCCTCACTCTCCGCTCTCTCTCTCTCTCTCTCTCTCCTATCTGTCTCTCTCCTTCTCGTACACGCACGATATCCGAACGACTTAATTTAATTTGTATGCAAAGTGACAGCGAATAAAGTTTGTACCGTTTGTATGCTTTAAATAAACTGTTGCGGAAGGAAGACGGTAGGTGAATCTTTATCGAACTCATCTCTTATTGTGAGTTTCAGAGATATATTATTCCGTGCGTTCTCTGTGAAACAGTTTAGACGTTAGATAAAGCGATAAAGGATTATTACTTCTGCACTATGAATAGGATCGTTAAATTTAGCGGTTCGCAAAGTCCCGGTTCTGAGCACTCCACTCGAGAGAGATGGAGCAGTTGAAACTGGAAGTTTGTCTTAGCATCTATAGAAGCATCAATAGAAACTCTACAAGCAACTTCTCCGACGTATCCCAAGATCATTATTTGTCCGGATATTCCTTAACTTGCCGTAATCGTATTAAGACTCGCCATAACCCGGTCCAGATGTAACTACAACATCCGGCACTCATATTGAGTCGGCTCTCGCAATATTTTATTACGAATTGATTAACTGAAGCAATTACAACGTAATCTAACACTTAAATTGTTCTTCTATTTTCCGACACAATTTCTTAACAAAGTATATAATTTTTCCCATAATTTACTCAATAATCTATTACGACAAGACTCTTCTTTCTTATTATTTACAAATATATTTTGAAACTTATAATTATCGGACATTAACGATAATCACCTGAGGTTGACAGTGTCATTTAAATGTTCAGAGAAAGATCGCAAGAAAAGTAACTAGACCAGGAAGAGAGTGGGCAAGAGTGTAAAGGTGAGTAGGGCAAATGAAAAGTAAGTGTGAGTCAATAAATATATAATTTATTAAATGCAATGTGATGAAATGGTGTAACAATAGAGGGGCGGGCGAAACGACGATCGTTAATGATCGCCGCGAAGGCGGACAAGAGATAATACGCCACCCCCGCCCGGCGCCCCTCCGGAGATCGGAAATATAGATAAAATATTTTCGTTATTATTTACAATATTAGTCGAACGTTAGTCAATAAATAATAAACAGTGGCATAATCCCTTTATTTAATATATTTATTTAATTATATAAATATAATATATATATATATATATATATATATATATTATATATATAATATATATATATAATATTACGCTTGCGATAATAAAAATATTACAAGAGATGGAGCCTTTACCGTTATTCGTTTCCGCTAGTAAAATCTAGCACGTACGTGCCACATCTATAGGCGTCGTCCTCGTTTCGAAACTTCCTGATCTCGGGTCCTCGATTTCGGGCACTTGATTTCAAGCACTCGATTTCTCGTCAGGCGATTACGCAGAAACGAGAGAGGATCGAGGTCCAATGCGATCGCCCGAATTTCGAAACGCGGAAACACCAAGAGCGAATTGATGTCGAAACAGCCGTCGAAACCATCATCAACATTCCGGGAAAATCGTACTCACTCTCTCATTCTCTCTTATTTTCTCTCACTCTCTCTCTCTCTCTCTCTATCTCTTTCTCTCCCACTCTTTCTTTCTCCCTATCGCGAAAAAATCGACGATGGGACTGAACAACAAATGGCAAATCAGCTCGGTTCTCGACGTGCGCAGAGAAATGATTTTTCGCAACGCGTCAGATTATCACAACGAAAGTACACGCGACATGCTTGGACGTTATCAATCGTCGAGCGGAGTAAAAAGGCTGTGTGTGTGTGTATATATATATGTTTTGTATGTGTCTTGTATGGGTTTCTTGTACGGTATATGTGAACGCCGCCACGCGAGACTGGGAGTTGTGTCGTGTGTAGGATCAGGCAGGCAGCAAGCAGGTACAAAGTGACCGTCGCGACGAAGGAACAACGTATCTTTGGGTCTCTGTAATTCTTCGTGTCTCTGTGATACTTCGTGTAATTCTGTGTGTTCGCACTATAATTCTGTGCCCGACTATAATGTTTCCGTGTGTTTCCTAGTATCCCCGGTATCTGTACGAACAGCGATAGGCATCGACCCGATCGTTTCGACCCTTTCGACATCGTGACGCGTGCAACGCGCGTCGGGCGCCGCGTGTTCGCGCGATCGCGAGCCCGTGCCCCGCCGTGCCCCGTCACGCGCCGCCCGTTGTGAGGCGGGTACGCGCTATTAAGCACCGGATGACCGTGTCGAATTTTTAGTCTTCTTTTTATTTTTTTTTCTATATTTTGTAAAAAATATACGCAAGAGTTTCCGCGAGGGATAGATATATATCGGCGTTGTCCGAGTCGCAGCGGAACCGCTTCAGCGATCGCGCGCTCGCGGTCCTCGAAACCGCGACATTCCGCTTCCCGAGATGTCGAAGCGTACTTCCGATTCGCGGCGTCGGATTTTTCGGAACTCGCCCTTTCGCGTCCCCGTGTGATTCCGGGGGGGTACATATATGATTCTCGAAACACGGTTTCGCGACAGGGCCGCGGCGAGATTCCAGCGGGCTCGCGACAGCGAAAACCGTACGGACGAACCTCGAATAAACGCGCGTATGTCTCGTGCGAGAAATGGACAATTGGAAATATCTCGAATCTTATAGCGTGAATCTCGATCGTTCCTGATTTTTTTTTTAGGAGAAGAATTAATTCCTGTTAGTTTTAATCTTGCATAATAGTCCGCTATTAATATACCTACTGATTCGTCTCTGTATCTAGAGAGTAGTTTGAAAAGTGGCATGAGATAGAGTGTGTTATAGGTTTTCTTTCTTTTTTTTTTCCATTATTTCGCATCTGTTGTATCGAGATTAATTGAGTAATAAAGTTATAATTATTTATTTAATTAATTAAAGTGGCAGCAGTTAGGCCATGCGGCTCCTATCATCTAGTCGTCTTTGACTCTTGGCTTCCTTACATAGAATTTAAAAATTTTTTTTCCTCCTTTACTTATTAAACTTCTTTATATTTTGAGAATAATTTGTATTATAAATGACTTTTTAAAGTTTATGTATTCATCGAAGCGCCTACCCTAGCAATGTCTTTTTAATTAAGATTATTCTTTTTCTCAGCGGCCTCCTCCCTTCTCACGTCCCCCATTCTCTGTCCGTCTCTCAGCCTTCGGCCTAAATACCTTTTCGCCCAGCTTGCCCTCGGTGTACTTGGTTAATTATGCAATGAATGTGGAGCAACGGCGAAACTTTGGAGATCTCGCGCGGTGTCGGCCATTATTCCCTGTCCGCCGTTCCGCGGGTAAAAAATATTGTATTCGACTTGCCTTGCGGAGACCCCGGTGAAAAGCGACAGTGCACCCCGCGTGTGCGATTGCACCGAGGACTTCGACCTTCCGCCGAGACCGCGCACGTGCCCTATCGTCTTTCTTCATTACTTGTTAAATTCGGAACCTGATTGCCACGCATAACGACAAGCCCGACTAACTAGAATTATCCCTAACTTGAGACCTCATCATCATCATCATCGTCGTCGTTATCGTTCACGCCTCTCGTGCCCGCTACGTTTATAATCGCTAGCTCTCGTTTATTAGATTCTTAAATATGTAATAAGCAAAAATATGAATATATATAATAATAGTTTTTTTTATGTATATAATAATTATTATTATTTTACTCATTTTTTAAGTATTTCGATAGGATCGTGATTATTTTAATTAATTAACAATGATTAAAAGAGTGTAAGAATTTGTTATCTCTTCCTTCCTTCCTTCCTTCCTTTCCTCCTTCCTTCCTTCTCGCCCTCTTTTCGCTTCCCGCGCACGCTTCATCTCCTTTTAATAACTAATAATTCTTTAAGCTTAATGGCATGAAAATGCTCGTTGGAATTGACTCATGTGTACAATATATATTGTGGTAATACCCCACCTCGCGCTCCGCAATTACGTCGCTCTATTTTAGATCTCACAACTCACAACCCGCTGTGAGTCTGCGAAACACATCCCGAGGGGAGAGGGTCGATATGGGTTGATTTACTGTCTCGAAGAAATTCGATAATTCGAAAATCCGCATGCAGCACCCTTTACATTTACGACGCGCGGTATCGACACATTACTCCCCCGACAGATCCCGCACGGCGTAATATCGGCTCGCCCAGTTATCTCTCGGATCTCTACCCGTCCGTCTGTCTGTCTGTGTCTCTCCGTTTCTTCTTCTTCACATCTCAGCGAGAGCTCCCGCGTGCGTACACGGAGACGTACGTCGGAGACGCGTGGATTTTCATCTCCGTCTGCCCCTTTGTCCCGTTGCGCGCGGAAATACTTTCTTGGATCACCATTAATTTATCACAATAGACGTTTTGTCCACCCGATCAAAACTTTGAACGCCGGGACAATCACGCCCTTCGCGCGCCGTGCAATCGCGCGCGAACGCGCGCGCGCCCGCAATCAACTACGCCCTTAATTTTAACCGCTAATTATATCTTTACGCTAGAGAACCTTTTAAAAAATCCCCTATCGGAGAGAGAAACGGTAGGTAGTTTTTTTGTAACAATGTGTAATCGACTAGCTTACGTCCTAAAAAGTAACTCTACGAAGTTGATTATACTGTGACTAGCACAGCCCGTGGATGAAATTGCGCCCTTTGGACGAAGGGCCCGTTTATTTTTTTCCTCTTTTCTCTCTTTTTTTTCTTTTAATTCTCCTTTAATAATTCCTTCCTCTATTCGCTCCCTCCTCGCTCTGTTTCTCTCTCTTTTCTCTCGCTTTCTCTAAAATTTTCTAAAATCAAAGTATAGACCTTTTTGTTCACTTTGCGTCTCTTAAGCAAAACGAATATCGTACACAAAAGAGACCACATTTCTGCCACATGATGAACAATAATTTCTCATCTAATTATGTACAGTGGATTCTCGATGCTTAGCTATCAGATTTGCGCTAATGATAGGAATGCGGTGCCCAGCTTCGCGTATCGATTAAATTTAACTACGCCTCTCGTAAAAATGTAGAAAAAATGTACAGATAATAAAATCGATCAAAATAAAAAATCTAATCTTGTAAAATATCAACATTCTAACTGCGCCCGTATTCGTATTCAAAATTTTACCTTCGTCCTTCATGTTTTCAAGACTTATCTATTCGTCGTTAAAATGTAACTCATTACTACTTGTAAAATTAATTTCACGTCGCTCCTTCATGTTCTGATCGCTCATTCATTCGTTAATCATCTGTTAGCGTCAGCTAGATCTGAAATCCAACGTGTGAATAAAAATACTAGAAGTTCAAACACAAAGATTCTCGCGTAAACTTAAGATAAGTCTTCTTCGATCGAGCCTGCTCTCTTCTTTTCTTTTTTCTTCATAGGCGCTATCCCCTTCTTAGATAGTGTTTCGCCTAAATCGATTAGAATTGTTTTCAGTGTTTTAATTAGAATTATAAATTTAGAAACAAAAATCGATGAGAACGTATCGGAAAAAAAATGGAAAATATTGTTCTGTATGCAAGTAAGATGATATACGGTGCATGTAATCATGTTGAAAAAAATAAATAATAATCTCTACATGAATATTTCTTTGTTGTAAAAAAATGATAAAATAACGTCGATCCGAGAGGTACGAAACTGATGACACGAGTCAACAGAATTTTCTTTTTAGGTAAAAAATCTTTAATTAATTTCCATAGTATTTCATTTCTAATGTTTAAAAAGTTATCGAGATTTATTAAATTTTATGTGATATAAATTGTAATAAGAAATGAATGCTGTACTTAATTTGTTATCATTTTCAGAATTGCAAATATAATATAATCAGTTTATGCGATTTTCGTCTCAAAGAAGGCTTCGAATTCGTCAACCAGTGTCATCAAAGGAGAAACATGTCTATTTTTATAAAAAGCCTCGTGTCGAAGAAATGTTTCGTTTTAAAAAGATCTGCGGTTCCGTAGGAGATCTGCCAGCAGTAAATTCGCGTACTATTTGAACCTACGAAAACGACAACGATTTTGTGCGATTCAGCTCGGTGCACACAAGGATTTAATAAAGTATCGCGGGAACGGCTCGTCAACTTCGATGTTGTCGCAATGTAGCAAAGAATCAACGTATATGTCGGGCCAAGCGGATCTCGTACTCCTGAAGAGACACGCTAGTTATATACATCTTACATATTAAGCGAAAGGTAAAACTCTCTACAAGCTTTCTTCAGTCGATCGGTCTCGTATAGATTTTTAGCAAACCCACTTACGATAGGTTCGCCTATTTTCTGCCGCTCTGATACTCGCTCGAGGAGGATGCAGGGGCGCGTAGAAAGTGCGGTAATAGCGTAAGATACAAACGAAAAGAACGAGCGGTCGAGAATGAGACGTGGTGTTAACTCAATTGTGATGTGAAGGGACAAAAGATTGAAAGATAGGTAAGACTTCACGTTGGTTAATCGTCAGGTACGCAAATCAGAGACGCAGAGAACAAAATCGTATATCATCCGTGTCGTACGTCTGGTACCCTCTCGCAGTAGTTATAGTCGTCGTTAACAACCTCGCATACTCCCTCAAAAGCGTCACGATGGCCGATCCGGGGCGTCGTTCGCCAACGGCTCTCACCACCGACCGTGTTATTTCGCTACCGAATTGTCATCGCCGCTGCTCCGCGTGCCGTTGGACTGACAGTCGACTAGGTGACCCCCGGGCTGACGGCTGCTAGGCTGGCCCCTGGGCTAGATGAGGGCGAGCTTTGGGGGACAGCAGCCGCTCGTGAAGTGACCGCTGGCAGCCTCCCGCTCCCGTTTGCGACGACCTTGGCGTTCTGCAGTCTGATTCAAGGCAGAAACATACGCTTTATATAAAAACACGCATCGCTTACGCGTGAGTGCATACGTGACACTGAAATGATCCAGGCCGTATATACCGGAAGGCAAATAAATGCATCTATAAGCGCTTCCCTTGACACTTTGCGGCAACTCGTTGATGGACAATATTAATTCATTAGAAATCATATTGTTCGAATATTGTTTGATATACACGTCTTTTCTAAACGAAAGTAATAAGTATATATATAACACGTATTACAATTATTATATATATAAGTATATATATAACACGTATTATAATTATTTATAAATTAATAGATGTATGAATTGAATATTTTTTTCACTCTGTGAATATGGGAATTTACTATTGAAAAATAAATATATATTAAATCCGATATCCCGGAGTAAATATTTTAATTATAAATTATAATGTATACAAAAACCATAGCAAAATATAAATGCTGATTTCTCAATTATTCATATTTAAACATGCGATACATTTAATGTGTCCGTCAACGAGTTATTGCCAAAGTAATTATCGAGCAATTCGCTGGTTCTATGTCGTTAAGCGACGAATACACGATTTTGCTGTACAAAGACACAAAATATTTACTGACATTCAAACAATAAACACGAAGCATCGTCAAATGTGTGAGGCACGTATACAGTTTCCGGTATATAGACGTGTCAACTCGTTAATTTGTGTGTCATGAAACAGGGTGCAGATCAAGAGAGGGGAAAGGGGAGAGGGAAAGGAGAGAGAAAGAGAGACAACGAAAGCGTTAATTCCCTCCGGCACAGATGAGACAGGAACGAGAGAGAGAGATACAAACAAGCACTGTTTTGCCGAAACAATCGTCCTATTAAAAGATCTTTACTTACCGGTCGTGAATCGTCCCACAAGCTGCATTAGTGACACACAGAAGAGGGAGACTTTAGAACTTTTACAGTTTGTCTTTTTTGTTTTTCAATACGATAAAAAGCCTTTTGTGTGCTAACAAGAAGTCTCTACCACGTTAACTAATGTGCGTGCACATCGTTGCAACAAGAAATGCAGCACTGTATACACACACACGCACACACACATACATACGGGGATACTAACTTGATTTTGGATTGCCGCATGAACTGCTGGATCGTCCTCGCTGCCGCCTGCTGATGAATTGCCTGCTGCCTCGCGCTAGCCGAGCCCGGCCGCGCACGATAATTTCGATAGTTGTTCTGGATCACCAGCGCTGCCTTCGTGGCTTGCCTGCGGTAAAGGATACGGGCTTTAAAGTTCAAGTATTCTAGAATATAATTCAACAATGGAGCCATAGAACGCAAGACGACTTGCACTAAACTTTAGAGTAATTACTAACGTATAAAAGGATTGGAGAACGACATAAAACGGGGGAATATAAAAAGAAATGGTGCTCATAAAAAAAAAGAATTGAAATTCTGTCATTAAATTAATGTATTACAATCTTCGTTCTGCATAAATGAAAAATGATAGCCAGGATTGGCCGCACGCCTGATATCTTTCATTACTTCTCGCAACTTGAGTTTTCGCGAAGATTCTACAATGATAATATATGGTCGGATTATCACTAATTTCGGAGACATTACAATGGGAAGTTCAAATCGCTACGTATATAACTCGGTGAATGCGGGAAGAAGGAATACCGATCTCCAGCTCCAACGCAAAAGTCGTATTAATTTAATGCCAACTTAATTCTGTATTCAGGCCACCGTAACGAAGGCAGAGAAATCCGCAAAGTTTCCGAATTATTTACGATGCCAATTAAAAGTTCGCCTCGAGAGAGGTACACGGGTCGAACTTTGGTGGTATCAGCCTAATTCAGTCGGAGGTCGTTAAGTCGGCCCACAATGGTACGTCTTGTCCCCCGGTTATTAATTGTTCCTTATTAAGACGTGCCCCGCAACCTCCTCCACCAGCGGAATATCGATGGAAATTTAACTTTCTAAGTTCGAAGCAATTTGGCGATGTCTGCGCGATGCAAGATAATAATCTGTCATACTTAACAACCTTGAGTTCAACCTGATAACACGTGCCCACATAAACTCGGGCGATCTGTATCTAAAGACGTCGCATGCGTCGCGTACAGTAGTTAGTACCATTGTAGTCCGACAGTAAGTGATTCATTCCGTTCTTAAGACTTTCGAAGTTGGAGAAAGTTCGATAGCATGCGAAATGTTACGACAAAAGGAAGGAGAAACGTCGAAACTCGTGAAACGGGCCATTCTGAATATAAATATGGAAAGGTACGATGTATAAAAATAATGAAACCGAACGTAGGAATAAATATATAAGATCTGATAAAATTAATGCGAAGCGATAGACAAGTTACCTGTGATAAGCGTACTGTTTGTGACGACGATAGTACTGTTGAATCAGAACGGCGGCGTGCCTCTCGGCCTCCTCTTGCCTCTGACGACCCTTGTAATTCCTGTACGCCTTCTGAATCATCCTGGCGGCGTGGTAGAGCTCTCTCTGCTCGCGATCGGACAGCGTCAGTCTGCTCAAATCCGCTTCATTACCGTCGCCGTTTCCGATGCCAACCGCCGTCATGGCCCCGGAACCGATCATGCCGTTCAATTTGCGTTCGCCGCCGTTCGACGAGTAGTACTGACCGCTGTGAGCGTTACCGTTGCCGTCGAGCTGCAGCTGCAGCTGCAGAAACTCGCAGAAATCGACGGTGGTAGGCGGCGGGGACGGCGAGTCCGGCGTCAGGCAACTGCTGGAGGGACTTGAAGGACTGGCGTCGGCGTCGGCGTCCGAGACTGAAGCGGCGCCGCCGTTGCAGTCGCGATAGGAGTCGAACAGTTCCCCGGAGTCGAGAGGCTACAAGCAAGACGATTAGCATGTAAATAGAGCTTTATAATGGAAAACCCAGGAACTCCAAAGTTCCATTTGTCGGAACTGCAATCCGGCTTGGTCCAAAGTTTTACTCCTAATTATGATTCAAGACCGAACTACTAATGTTTGCTATTTCTGCGATTGTATCCGCCAGAAGATTATGTCGTACTCAGGGAAGTTTCAACGTTCCAATTAATCATTCGCAATTTCTTATCTATAATTTAATCCGTTTTGGATTTTAGTAGAGATTAAGATAAAGGATTCTACGAGACTCTCGCAACGGTCTGATTATCAATTATAATAGTGAGCGTGATACCCTCTTACCATTTGTTCCATGAGAGAGTCCTCCAAGGGTGACAGAGGTGCCGTTGGTGGTAGTGGCGAGGAAGAAGACGAAGAATCACCCTCCGCCCTCTTGATCCTTTCCGGTAGCGCCGCTATAATTTGCTCTGCCAATGTCAGCACCCTCGCGTCTTCTTCCCCTATAAAAAGGAATCACCACCCTAGCCAAATTCGAAAAGCTCGTGGTGGCAAACCGCCGAAATCACATCGATCACAACACCGAAGTTTAAAAGCCGTGAATGTGTTCTACGATGCATCGAGATGCTGCCACAATGTCAGGTAAAATGTTTAACACCAAGTGCGCCGCTACGACACGAATTGACAACACGGAGAATCAGACAAGTCACTGGTGAACGTAGCGCTTTCCTACTCGTTTCATAAGATGATAGCCAGCTGAGATACCTCCACATCGACTGGGCAGATCGCGTGTCTGTCCGGATGATAATTAAGTCATCGTTATATTTTCGTTGAAATTTTTATACAGACGCTTGAGAAGAGGCCTCGATAGTTGACAGTAGATAGTGGCTAAGAAAATTTAAACATTACACAGCAATTCATCCAACACCGGTTACGAAGGCCAAGCAACACCAATATTGTTCAAGCTGCAAGAGTTCAGAGGAGTTAGAGAAGGCGGAGTCGCTGATCGAGTCCGGTCGTCTCGTACGCACACAGAGAGAGATAGAGAGAGAAAGAGAACACTCTTGCTGTACGCGTGTATGTATCTGTTTACGTGTAAAAGGGCAGTGTATGTGTATGTCGTGTGTGTCTGCGAACGAGGGAGGCGAACGCAGTTTTAGCTGGGATAACTAGGATCTCTACGGAATTCGCAGTCCACGTGATTGTGGTAGTACGTCTAGGCCGATCCATTTCTATCGGTAGTGTGTCACAGAAAACAGACAGAGAATTACGGATAGTTTTTACAGACAGACAGGCAGACAGACAGACAAATAGAAGAGGAAACGAGGAAGGTACGGACCTACGGACTCCTGAGAGGTCGGAGCGCTCTCCATTCCCTGTTCGCTGAGGCCTAACGACGACTCATCTTCTTGCAACAATTCCATGTTGTCCAGCAGCGGTGAGCCACCTGTGTATTTTTCGATAAACCCCACTTAATGCTATATACGTTGCCTAATTTATTACGCTCGCATGACTTACGGCCTTTTTGTGACTCTACGGTCTTTATAAACTGGACGAGGGAAAGTATAATGGCGCTGAGGAGGCTAATCAGCAAGTAGGGGGATGACTATACGTGTGTCAGATACGTGAATGTGTGTGCGTGTATACGGAAAAGAGGGCAGTATATAATATCAAACGAGACTAACACAACGCCAGATCGAGACCGCTGTCTTGAGATGGCCGCCTAGGGCTAGGGCTGGCGGGCCGCAAGAAAAGCCTCTCGTCTTGCCTTCGAGTTTCGAGCTGATTCAGTTCTTCGGCAATCGCCGTGTGACCGTTCTCCGCGGCCAGCTCGGTCGCCGTTCTATTCTGACAGTCCCTCACGCGTAGTGCCATAGCATTCCATCTATGGAGGCAGAGTTAACAACAAATACTTATTAAAGATTAAATCGATTCAAAATCAATATATTCGTGGTATTCGAAGCAATTGTGAGCTACACGAAAGGCAAAGGTATGTAAATTTGTCGTAACTTTATGGACACAGTTGTTCATTATTAATAATGTTAAACAAAATGTTGCTCCAATAAGAATATTTTCACAAACCTGTAAAGAATCCTGGCGGTGTCGGCGTGCCCTGCGGCACAAGCCCAAGCAAGTGGCGTAAGGCCGGCGCTATCTTGCCGAAGAGCATCAACCTCGGCGTCCAAAACACTGCTAGGATTTTCTGCTCTCCAGTGAAGGAGTGCACAGGCTAACCTGGAGTACCCCAATCCGGCCGCCAGGTGCAAGAGGGTAGGCCCACCGGATTGAAGAGGTTCCGCTCCAGTTCGCCAAGGACGGACAACAGCATCCTGCAATTAATTATCCAAGACAATGAAACTTTACTTACGCTATAATTTACTAATTAAACTATAATTATCGCAGTTAAAATTTCAATGATTAATATCGAAATATCGAGTTCTTGAAGTACCTGGCAATAAGCAACCAGTCGCTCTTCCAGATGAGCTGCGGGAGATGGCGGACCGGGGCCCTGCAGACGGGCTTCAACGTCAGCAAGACGGTCCAGCAGAGCTTTCTCTGGGCTAGGTTCGCTCGTCGGCGCTCTACGATATTCGAAGGCAACGCTATCGGACACGACGAAACCGTCACAGGCCACCTGAAGGGACGCTATTCCTGGTGCGTGTGCGGGACATCGACAACGCAGTACACCTGGTTGCACAAGACACGCCTCGACCGGTTCCGCGTCGAAAAGTACCGAATACGACTGGGAACTACTACCGCCGGTCCATGGACCAGCAACTAATACCTGAAATAGCGTTTATTTCAGATATATTTACATAATAATCAGCGAATCCATAAGAAGAAAATCAGCTATAAATATTTTATTCACACCTTTACACCACCCTCGGTGTAACTCCACTCAGGACTATATTCTGCAATATGGACGGTTGTACCAGGATGACATCCGACGTCGTTCTCGGGACCACCTCGCTGTTCCTCGTGCTTCGTCTGCTCGGCCTCGAAGTCATGCAGCTCCGGCAAATCGCCGAACACGTCGAACGCGTCCAGATTGACCAGCACGTCATCCGACGAGTCGATAAAGTCCATCGGATTGATCATGTTGTTGTCTGCCGGCGAAGGCGACGGCGACGGGGGCACCATGTTGGCCGACAGTGTCCTCTGAATGTCTTCCTGACTCAGATCCAGAGTCTCTGCGAAATCGGTTACCTCGGAGCCGGAACCGCCCATCGGCAGAGATTGCACAGCAGACCTGTCCATACTCTCTTGCGCGTCGATTTCTTGCTGCGTTTGCTGTTCTCGATCGACGCTGGTCTGCGGTACAATTTGTTGCTCTGTGACCTGTTGCATTTCCACCTGCTGACTCTGCTGCTGCTGCTGCTGCTGTTGCTGCGGCTGCTGTGGCTGTTGCGACTGCTGCTGCTGTTGTTGCTGCTGTTGCTGCTGCTGTTGCTGCTGATGATGATATGGTTGACTGTTAAGTATCAGGAGACCACCACCGCCTTGAATTTGTTGCAAACTTAAAACTAGAGGAGCCGGCTGTTGACTCTGAGTGGAATGGGAATGTCTTGAATATACGCGGGGAGCCGGAGCCGCCGTCGTCGATTGTTGTTGACCTCCCGTTGTCGAAGTGACCTATTTCAAGCGGTTAGATATAGCTAAAATTGATTTGACTATGCAATCACGTAAAATAATAATTTTATAAAAAAATTTTGTCACAAAAATAAGATTCTTAATTATTGCGATAGGTAATCTTTTTATCATTATAAATAATTGTTAAGAAATTCCAGAGTATTGTGAGATTTCAAGTGTAACACAATACCTGATTGTCGGGCGTAAGTCTCCTAGGTGCGAGTTGAGTGCTGCTGGTAGAGGAAGTGGAGGATGCCCTCTGCCTATCGAGCAGCTGAGAGACTATCATGTCGACGGGATGGTTCGAGTGCTGAGTGAGATGAGGATTATTCGGATCGTCATCTCCACCGAGGAACATGGGCCTTAATTGCGACGCTAGCTCGTCTCGCGTCCACTCCTTCTTGTCTGGCGGCAGCGCGAGGCAGGGTGGCAGGGCCGCCAGCTTCGCATCACCGTCCGGATAAGGGACGTTCAGATAATGAACGAGAACAACGTCTGGATTCTGCAGTAGCCAGTAACACCGGCGATGAAACGTCGGAAGGATCGCCGAGTGCACGTAACAGCCGTAGATGCACTCGACTCCCTGAACCTGTATTAGATTGATGTAATGATTCATTCAATTCACGTAATTTCTTTCGTAAACTTTAATGATAAAATTTTAATGAATTTTTGAATAGGTTGCAACTACTAGTTGCAAACGTTTTGAATACTCGATAACTTCTTCTTGCTTTTTTGTTACCTTCAGTTTCATGTGATCCTCCCGTGTAGTCTTCCCATCTTTTCTTTTCTTCCAGCAATAACCGTCCCGCCGGTAGCGTACTTTCTTCCTCGAGTACAGTAACATTGAACCACTTCGTGGTCGTACTTTCACCTCCCGACTTTGCCATTCGGCGTGCCTCTGAAAACTGATCAGGATGGCGGCGATTTCCTGAAAATAAAGAAACAGGCTGCATTTACTTACACAACATATAATTCCGATATCTCATACATGCTATATATCATTGACGTGTTGTAACATCATGTGCATATTTAATTCAGTCATCCGATTAAATTTTATTTGTTGATATTTTATTTCAGCACACGTCGAATATTAAAGTAAAAATAAACCGCGCAAAGAAACACTAAACCAAAACAGACTTGTTATAAAAGCCGTACGGAATGCATTTTAGATATATTCCGCTGACATATGCCTTTCTCTGTAGATTTGGCTTCAGTCCGAAAGTCGCGCTGACGTATCTCCGATCTATCTTCCAGACTGTGCTTTCATCTTCGGAGAAATGGAATCATAGATGGTCGCAAACACGTTGAACGACGATTTCTGTGATATATTTACACAGGCACTGAAAATTATGTTTCTCAAAAGAACGCGGTCTAGTAATATCTTTATAATATGATTTAAAAGAGAACGTATTATTCGTAGCAACATACACATTATTCACAGACACTTCCGATCTATCAAATAATATTTGAACAAGTGGAAATTTAATTATAAAACAGTTAAGAAACTGTTTGTCGATTAACCTTGTTGAAATATGTAAAAAGAAAATAATAAGATGCAAATTTCACGGACAAAATAAGATCCTACCTTTACCTTTGTCCGATCTACTGACATAATCAACAAGTCAAAACGGCAAAATAATTATTCTTAATCTCGAGTTCTTGGACGAGACTTCTGGCTTGGAAAGTTCTCGGGTCTTCTAACTATCAGGACCAAAAATACTTAACATAATGAATAATTCAGCAGCGACACATACGCGCTCGACGTACTTGGCGTATGAAAAATGGAGGAACTGTCTTCGGGCCGGATGTCTTATCCGTATACCTTACATCGCGCGCGGTAGCACGGCAAGGAACGCGAAATGTGCATGTTGCGTCATTCGCATTTACACGCCTCTAACAATAACAGCGCCGTTTATTACGGTTCATTATTGATTTTCGCCGCGAGGAACCGCTCGACGTAATTTTAAGCGGACGGCCGGCGCGATAGTACGGCATTATTAGAGAAGGAAGTAACGCCACCGGTACTGACGTTAAGAAATGCAATTACCACGAGGACTTTTGATGTCGCGTATCACGATATTCGGCCCCTGTAACCCCGTCTTCCCACCATCCATTTTTCCTCCTTCAGCCTCCTTTAAACTAAACGTACACACGCGCCGACGCGACGTGGCACGCAACAATCGGCACTTGGCGGGCCCGCACGATGGGTATAATCAGAATAAGAATGCAAAATTCGCTTCTATAAATATTCGTACCACAGCATGCGATGCTTATCAGCAATTCAGGCTACTTGAGGACATAAAAGAAGAAAGCCAGCGTCCGCGAGAAAAAATAAAGAATTCAACACCCGAAGGCGCGGTAAGTAGGTAGCCAGGAGCGCCTGCGACACGCGACCTAACGTACAATAATGCAAATCGAACCGGTGCATGCGGTTGATTTGACCGATCTGAAGAATTAAATAATGGGCAGCGGCAAATATGTACGAGTGCCCCCATGATTAGCCATAATTATGAAGCACTCGCCGGTAAAATTTCAAGTCAATATTAAGAGGCCAAAAGTAACGAGGCGTGCATTATTCAAAACGTAAAATTATTATTTGACTGATGACACAAATTGTATCGCTGTTTATCGCTTCAACGATTATAAATCTCGGTGATCCAAAGATCATAATTGTTAAAAATTGAATTATCTCGCTTGGCGTAGTTAAATTAAATCAAATTAAATACATTATGTATTCAGAAATATTGTGCGTCGTGGCGTAGTATTTGTGTTAAGCATTATTTGTTAGAGGGCCGGGAATAATGACGAGTGTAATAAATGCGCGCGATTCTCGCGATATTCTAATTAGGCGAGTTTGTCTTCAACTTAGCTGGAAATGCGGAGCGAGTGCGAGAGAGCCACCTCGACATTCTGAAATATAATAACGTAATAAAGCGATCCGCCTAAAAATTCTCTTCCGATTCAATTTCTCTGATTTGGCAGAGTGCCCCGTGCATTTCTACGGAGAAAATTATAGAACGGTACTAAATATGCATATCAGCCGGAATATGTATCGCGCTCCTCACGAAGGTTACTATCGTACGTCATTAGAGCTTTTGTCAGCACCACCACCCCTATCGTGGGCTGTCTTTCCCTCTAGTCCATTAAATTTCTTGGCCATGATCTCGGTTTCGCGTCGACTCATATATGAGATGTATCTAGGACAATATATACATTTTATATCGAACAACATCTTGTAATTATTTATGATGTATTGGTCTAACATTTATTCACAATATAAAACAGTATTAAGATATATTCAAGTAATAAATTCTTCGTGAACGTATTTTATATTAACATATCGATACAGGCTGCTAAAGAATGTTTTCTATAATTACATATAAGTTACATTTAGCAGAAGCAATGCAAATAGAGTATTCGATGAGCGAAATGCGAGCCGTAAATACGAACATTTGTCACATTCGGCTAGAATGGCTGCGGTCCGCATTTGTTATACGCGAAGCACCATCCATCTGCCAAGTGTAAATTAAATTCCCGCGAGATTCTGCGGCTATCTTCCACGTGGTATTGAGGATAACCCGAATACCGCACGACACAGGGCTACATGTACGCCGGGCCACGTATCTTGCGCACATTTTGCAGTGACAGCGCCAGCTTTTGATTGGGCCCGCTATGTGAACCGAACCCACACACCATTCATTTTAGATAAGGCATGGCAAGATTGGATTTTTAAGATAAATATGATCGCCGAGACCGCATGGAAAACATGTGACCGGATTTGAAAAATAGTACACACCCACCGACGAATAATTCATTCTCGTTTACTGGTTCTTACTTAAATAACATTCGCGCTATCCTGTCTTAGAAGACCTGACTCGTAAGTCGTGATGTCTATCCTCTCACAATAAAACGCAGTTTGTAGCATATCTAAAAAAATTTACATAAAGAGACAATATCTTATTATCAATTGGCACAGGAGCTCGATACGTTGCTGTAATATTTTAGTCCAGAACCAAGTTCCAATTACTAATTCAGAATATCTTTTCCGTTCCAAATGTTAATCACGAGAAGGCAACCGGGAATCCGGAGGCTACTTAATACCTTCGTGTGCGCCCCATGGGCATAGCTTCAACTTTCGAAAGGTTCTCCGGCGAACGTGGCCTGGATAACAAATATCGTCGATGAGGGGTGGCAAAAATAAGAGATGAGCAAGGATAACAGCAAATAGACAAAGCGATTTACTACATGATATAACAAATATAATATCAGTTTAATAATAGTAACAGTGCCACTATTATTATATATGAAGTGGTATGATACACTATACAAAACTTCGCTCGATGGAACAAAGTTTATTTTGAGGAACAGAGCTCTCTCAAGCGCGAATCAAGCTGCTTTCCATCGAAACACATGGTAACTCGCTCAGAATCGATATTAATATATGAATATAATAGGAATATATGGTACAAGACAAAAAAAATTGACATCGAATTAAAATATAGCAAGATAAGCTTTAAATTGCTGACTAAGAATAAATCAACCAACAAAAAGGGATTATTCGGGGCGGGGATCATCGTAATAGAACAAAATAAAAAAAATTTTCCTTCCATTTTCAGCCGTGCTCGTTTTTGCTCATTTTTGGAGCATTTCATATAGCCAGATCGTGGAGAGCATATGAAAATAGGATGGAAGAGCCCGGTGCCGGCTCCGCCGGCCATTAGACCGGCAGGGTACCGACAGCGGGGCTAGATAAAACCCCCACCGGGCACGCTGTAGTGATTTACAACTGGTTAATTGATCATTTGCATTCTAGCGAGGATGCTTCGTGCCGCCGTTCGGAGACGAATACTCGCGGCCTCGGGCACAAGCATTCGTGCGTCCCTTCGCTACAACTTCCCCGCTCGCGCTCACGTCCATTTGCCTTGATTAATCGCGGAATGTGTCTAGACAAAAATTAGGTTAAACCGGCAGACGAAAGTTCTATCACGAGTTTACGCGTTTCGCGCATACGCCAGTCAATCTCGTATACTGTATATTATTCTCGTAAAAATCGAACGTCAATTAATCTCTGTGTTGTGGATATTATACTTTGCATATTATAATTAACGTGAATAGTACACACTGTTTGAAATTTTATATTTATTATCAAGAGATATTGTAAATGCGGGTTTTTTTATTTTTTAAGAGCTTAATTAAGGCATATTTTAATTCAGATTGGGTCATTTGTGTCAAATACCTATAACACAAGTAGCTTTATGCAAGAAATAATTTGACGAAAAGCAAATATAATTATTTACATTAATATCATGCGCTAATGTCTTTCCATTAGTTCATAAAAACTGTAAAAATGTTTTATATATACACGCGTATAATATATGCTATTATTTTAGTTTGATCAACGTTTACTCAACATCATTTGTTACTAGAGTTTAGACAACTGGAAGTTATGTAACATAATTAATTATATTAGCATATATAACTTGTGCTAATATTAGTTATATTAGTATAGCATAGTTATATTAACATTAATATTAGCGCATCGCTTATTTTTCCGAGATTTATCGTATGACGTTGTTCGAGGAGCATATGGCTCATTGTTGTTAAATTCTGAAATCCTTTACAAATTCCTAGCGCACTTGCATATTGTGCTGTGCATTGCGTTTCGCGGTGATCGTGATCGTGAAATAGGTCAAGCAACGCATAGAATATTTTAGCTTATAATATTTTTCCACATATGTGTACGTGACCAAAAAAAAACTCATAAAATATAAACGTGATTATCGATTGCGACGGCAAAAATTAGCTTTCAGAGACAAAAATACGCTTTTATAAAAATTCCTACCTTAAAAACATACAAATTTTAATCATACGTGCAAATGTCCAATATTATTTTAACAAAATTGTTATAAATATGCATGTATTATATAA